CACAGAATATACTGTAGTGAATTCACTGTATATGCTGTGGGCGAAACACGGCAACCAATTGCACACCGCAGGGTCCCACAAACCGTAATGGATTGAGTCCCCAAATTATTAATTTTTTTGTTGAAGGGATTATTACTTCCGGAAAAGTGATCTGCCAATTGACTAACAACTGGGTTCCTAACTTACTGCTAGGTAAACAGAGGCTTGTGGAGTGAGGAAATTTGCCTAGGGTTTCGCCCTACTAGGAATCAAACTCAGGTCCTCTTGTTTGCGAGGTTAGTGCTCTAACCACTCAGCTACAGGACCCCACAAGCTTGTGGCAGGGTCCAAAATTAAAATTATTCCTGTCTATGGCACCAGCAATTCAATCCTGAATCATAAGATTACATGTTAAATTAAAAACCAAAAGGCTGCTGCCTAATTAATGTAAGTGCTCCAAGACACTACCCAGGGTGAATGGTGTTATATAAATGCAAGTTGTTGTATTTTTGCTCCAATTGTAACTCCATACAGCTAGAATAAATGGTTAAGTAATTGCGGGTAAAATGAAAAGCTATTGTCTTCCCATTTCTATTGTTTTGATTGTATCTCTAAGGTTCTACTCGGAGATATATCGCAGGTTTACGATTGACCAAGTAACTTGTTCAGCAGTAAAAAGTATAAGCTCCCTCCACAGTTCAGCTCGTAAAGGAACTGCTACTGCAATTCTGTACCACACAAACCCTCTGCCTCCTCTCTCCCAGAATCCTTCCGCCTTGCCCCTCCCGCCCCAGCTCTAAAACCCACCTTAAAATCTATTCTCATTAAAAGAAATCTGTTATGACATATGCAAATTAGACCATAAAATAACCCTCTTTGGAACTGTATTGTATAATCACATTTATTTGATAACAGAGTAAATAGATACAGCTTTTGCCTTAAAATTTAAGATTATGTAGAACTGTGGACATTTTTAAAAATAATAATCCTTACATTGGTAAAGCGCTCTATCATTTCTTCAAGACGGCTCAAAGAGCTTCAAAGTAGAGTGAATTGACTGTATATTTTGTGGATATACATGGCAGCCAATTGCGCGCAGCAGTGTCCCACAAATAGTGGTGGATTGAGTGACCAACTTATTATTTTTAAAAAATTTGAAGGGAAAAAAGTGATCGGCCAATCGACAAACAACTGGGTACCTATTTACTGTTATGTAAACAGTAAAGAAACTTACCTGCCCAGGAAACAAACCCAGGTCCACTTGCTTGCGAGGCGAGTGCTCTAACCAATACGCTATGGAATGCCACTCCTTTATATTGTAAATTCAGTCTTCATATGAAAGCTGATACTTATTACCAACTGTAGAAAATTAGCTTGCAAATTAAAAAATTGTATACTATTTGGGAAAAAAACAGCATTGGGCTTTTGGGTTAAATGTTTTAGAATTTGCTTAATTGTTCACAAATTCCTAACCAGAAATGCTTTAGTGAACTGAACTATCTAGCTTTAAATTGATTTTCTAACCACATACAGTAATGTATTAAACTATTGTTTTGATCTCAGTTCACACTATCAGTGGGTTTGTCTTCACAGGATTGCACATGACAAATTATATTTAGTTTACCCTCAGGCCAACTTTTACAGCTGAATGTGTGTATGTGTATCCCACTTATCATTAGTTTCTTGCCAGAAATACAAGAGCCACAAATTAAAAATATTAGGGACATATTATTTTGTTAACATGTAGCAGATGTGAATTTTGAATGTTTGACAAGAGACAAACTTTTTTCACAATGTTCTCTGTCAATGTGGTTTTTCAACCAGTTTCCAAAAAATGTCATCAAGTTCAGGAATTAACAGAATGAAACATGTGCTACTGTATTGACAGTAGCAGAGGATTAGACAATTTGCTCAGTCAACATTTAAATATTTTTGTACGTAGCATCCTGTTTCCAGTTTTCTCCCTTCCTTCTTCCTATGGCTACCTCCTCATTCTCCCTTGCTTGGCATTCAACCTCACTGTTATCCAGCAATCTGAGGCGCTATCCTGTGAGAAGGGTGCTATGTAAATGCAAGCTGTTGTTGACAAGTTGGGTAAACCCTCCCACTTATGTTATCACTTAATTAAACAGCTAAATTGTTTAGCTTTCTTTAGATTTCTGACTGTCCTGATGGCATTTTGTTTCCAATGAAGTTATGGAATAGAAATTAGTACTATATTTGGTGAGTCTCAGGTTTGAGAATTTGTGAAGCTTGATAGCCAAAACCCGCAATACACTTTTACCAAGAACTGAATATTTATGAATAAATCTTGCACTTGTACCAACTATCACATATTGATAGTGATTGTATCACATCATTGAGATGTTTCAAAGTACCTCATGTTATACTTTAATTGTGTATTGGTATTTGGAGTTGAGTTTGTTATCCTCAAATGCCATGCAGTAAATGTGACTTGCACTTGTCAACTATTACAAACAATTTAGTTTGCAGATCCCGTAAGTAGTCCAAAAAAAGGATAGAGACTAAATCAAATAGTGAGAGCAAACAGAAAGAAATGTGTAAAAGCTATTTTCCTCTATGCTGCAACTCCCACCAACACCATCACAATAGGATATGGAAACAGTCATATAGTTAGAGAAAAAGTGTAAGAACTTTATTTCTTCATCTGTATTTTATTTCTCTATCTCTAATCATAGATAGGTGCATCTACAAATCTATAATTACCAAATGCCTATCCTTACCAATTAGGACTATCCTTGTGAATACCAATTTTCTATTTGTCCCTTGGTATATCCGTAAATCAGGCCTGGCAAATTACAATGATGTGGACAGACTACACAGGCAACTGTTCAGAGATCGTAAGAGATATACAAATATAGTCAATGACAGATCAGGAAAGATGGGCTAGGCAAGATCATTAAATTGATAAGAAAAGGAATAACATTTAGGCATCTATTAGTCTCAAAAAATAAAGTGAGCAAAGTCAACAAAAAGAAAATACAGTTTGAGAAAATTAAAGGATGAACAAAAATGTGTCCAGGCAGAGAATATAGCCTTTGTTACACTTAAGTGTGTAGTTGTCTTTAAATAACTATCTTACACAATTTCGACAGAAATACCAACATTATGAGTAAACCAAATTCTGATCAAGGCGCAACTTAAAATGGGCAGAAAGCTTAGTGTTATGTTGTTTAAACTGACATTGATTCCAACTTTTGATTATGTTTAACACGACAGCAATTCTCTTTTTAAAATGGTGAAATACTAACAAGTTAACCAATATCCTGCTCGGCAGCAGCAGTATAGCTGTGTTCCCTGGGTGTCATCTTTGGTGGTTGGTCTTTTGTCACTTCCTCACTCAGAATTCAGCAATCTCACACATCATCACTGACCTACTCCAAGTTGGGGAACAAGGTTTTTAAAAAAATACTCATCAGGAATTAGCAGCATAAATGTCTCATGTTGGGTAAAGCACCTTTGCACATGAAATGAGATCTCCAATGAACTCCATGTTCGTAACACCAACTCAAAGGAAATGGCTTCAATGAATTCTTGAAGAATAACATCTTTTCAAATAGTGCCATGGGATCTTTAACATCCACCTGAACAGGCAAATAGGACCTCAGTTTAACATCTCATTCGAAGGCTGGCACCTCAAACACTGCGTTGTATTGATTCAACTGCAACACCGAATCAGATACTTTGGAACTCTTTCTGGTGACTATGTAATTTTGAAGAATGCATTAAGACTCTGTTCCAGTAAAATGGTAGAACATCACTTAAAAGATCACTAACTATCTGCATGTTGAGCAGCAATGCTGGCAAACCTTTTTTTTAATAGTTGCACTCATGTTCCACTACTTCCCGAGCAGTGTGAAATGGAGATCTGATCCAGGTAAGTACAAGGTTAGAGAGAGGCCCAGATGTAATATCTATATGGTTTACAAATCTTCAATTGTTAATTTGTATAGTTATTGTGTTCTCCATTGCACACAAAAATAATAATAATATGGGTAAGACTAGAAAGTGCAGTTTCTCTTCCCTAATAAACTTAAGTTGAACAGGTTTTGAAAAAACTATCACATAAATGCAAATAAATTAACTAAATTCTAAGTTTGCACTAGATTTATAAATGAGAAGTTACAACAATCTTACAACAGGGCTTGTTGTATGCTTTCCCATTATTATAGATTTTTGCTCAGTAAGTTCACATTTCTTAATTACGTTCAATAGATTCTATCTAAACTCAATACCACCTTTTAAGATGCAAATTCCTAAGCTACAGTAGTGGTCATTTATGCAGTTCTGAAGCATAGTATTTCATCCTGAAAAAATACATAAAAGTATGAATGCTGCAGATCATGAGATTATTATTGATACTTTCTGCAAATTACTTCAGCTCTTTGACTTTGCTGTGGAAATCTCAACACCCAGAGAATGAGCCACAGACAATTGTTGAATTATGTGATATCACTTGCAGCAAGCAGTCAAGCTGAATAAAGCATTAGATAGATGAAGAAAGATTTCTAGAGTAAAGAGGAATGAAAAATTCACAGTCTGAGCTAAAGATTAAGGATTAGTCAATTCCTACTAAATAAGATTTGAAGAACAATTCTCAATTCCAGGCCTGTTTTTTGATGTTTCTGCTAATAATTAGTTCCAGAACCAGTACTTTTTGCAATAGGATTACACATTGCTTTAAAGATTAAATAAACTGTTCTCTGTTCTGCTGATTAATTAGTACCATGCCTCTATCCAACTACTCATGGTTGAGAAAACACAAAATATTCATGGCTAAAATATCTATCACTCAGAGAATGTTATTGATCCAGTGCAGGTTAACATACAGCTGCAACATGTTTTGCTTACCACAATTCTACTGATAATTACCCACACTTGCGGTTTGAAGACAGTAATAATTGGCAGCAACAAAAAGTAATTTTTNATGTTTTTGTCTATGCTGAACATAACATTGAGTTTATTAAAATTTTAGAAGACATTTTGGATAATGCAGGATCCATAGGTTTAAATCTTTATTGTTTCAAAATTCTTAATTTGTTTTACAATACAGTAATGTATTACTTGAAGATTTTATAATGCTTAATGTACAATGACAAAATGGTTTTAAAATTATTAACTGAATGGAACACTCGTCACGAAGATGAAACCATAGAATGTATTTCAGCTTTAGGTTTTCGGGAAGTCAGTAGTACTGTGTGAGCTGTATTCAGCAAGAGTTCTTCCCTTCCAATAGGTATACACAAACTGTTGAAAAGTGCATTTTTGTAAAAATACAACTCTGGTGACTGATGCAGACTGACTTGTCACACTCTTCACACAGGTCTTCACCAAACTGGGCTATGCCTTCTATTTGTTTCTAAGTGACTTCAGTATCTCTCTAGATTAATAGCTAGAATGGAAATCCATGGATGCAAACGCATAAAACCTTATATGAGTCATTTGCATGCCAGGAACACTCCTCATTAAATACTTAATGCTTAAATACATATTTTAAGGAAGGGTTCTTAGAACTACTTAGATGATAAATTCTTTCACAAAAGGACAAATGCTGGTAATGACAAATTAGCATTAGGATACTCAAAATTGTTTTGGAACAGGCAAATAATATGGCTCGTATGCCACAATCTAGTCAGCATGCCCTTTGAAAATAACTTATTTGGTCCATATTTCTAAGTTATCTGGGTAAAACTAAAAGTTCATTAAATGGGATTGATTTATTGTTTATGCTCTGGGCAGAGCTGCATTCAATATATCTGAATGGGAAGTACAAAAATGAATCACTCCAGCAAATTTCCACATATGTCAATTACATTTGTACCACCTCTTCTAAACATCTTCAGAAGCTGCATAATGAATGTTGCACAACAAGCCGAAAAAGGAACTGACAGAAATGAAAGAATGAGCTAACGGGACTTTTTCATCATTGTTATACTTTCTTGTTCCAGGGTACTGCCTTCACTCTGTAAAACTTTGTTCCTAAAGGAACTTTAAATCGGTTTTGAGCCTGAAATAAATCAAAGGTAGGTTTATTTTAGTTCACACAATCTGGTCAATCGATAGTACAATATGAGGTATTTCACCTCTTCGGACAGTGCACGCTTGTTGAAATGAAACTTTTTTAAAAAAACTATGTTGAAATGACATTTGAACCAGGTAACATAGGGAACAGTTAAGTATTACATTCCAAGCCTTTGTTTAGACTGAACATATTTAAGTCTTACAAAATGCAACAAGAAGCAACAGTGGTATAAAAAAGTGCCAAGTGCCTTAAAAGTAATGTATGAAAGGACTTAATATTTAAGCCTAAAGACATAACACTGTATAATCTCACTGTGCACACAAGGATGATAAACAATTAATAGAGCCTCCGCGTTATTAAGTGCCGCGCTGGAGCACAAGTTTGTTTAAAACAATGGCCTCCTGTGGACTCAAGTACTGCATCAAAAGGATATTTGTAAAGATAATCAAAGCATTTTCCTTTGATGTGCAGATATCACTAAGTGCTACTGGTATGTAGGCTATCCTTCTCCACATATAGAATATCCACCTGTTCAGGTAGCTTCTTCACTGACTGGTATTACTATTCCAGAATGTATCACAATCCTCACTGGCGTTCTGAGAGGCAGCCTGAAGAGCACTATTAAGCATGCTTAATACTATTAAAATTAAGCATGATAGTACAAATGTTAGCTACTTATTGTGAATGGAGTTTTCAAAACATTTGGTGCAGTACTTGACATTTTCGCATTGAAACCAGAAATTATGAGAGGTTACAAAAGCTGGGAATCTCCACCCAAAAGAGAAGCCCCAGGAAAGACTCCAAAAGGCATAGGTGGCTAATAATGATTAATGTGGTCAAAAAATGTATACAACAAGGTTGGGGTGGGGAAGGAGAGTTATTCTCAAGCTCAGGAGATGGCAAGTGAAAAGCATTCCAGATCGACTCCAACTCCCAGCTCGGGTACAAACCCTCCACTATCCAGCAGTTTGGGATGTCCTCCCCACAGGAAACATGCTTTATAAATGAATTTGATGTTGTAATTTTTCAGAGTAATGAATATGCAGGATTGAACAGCCAGAGAAACAGTGGATCGTGTCAGGAATTCAAGGGCAACTTGAAAACCTATCGGGGAATTGAGTCAATTGAGCCCCATGGCCACATGCAGGATTTATTACTTTTAATTTTTTAAATAAAATTGGTCCTGTACATTTTTATGTTCCTAACATCTAAAGTCTGAAAAGCCTCAAAGTTGACATTCTGTGTACTAAATAAAATGCATGCGAGTATTTCTTTCAGGCTATTGTGTTAATATTTGTGACAGTCAGGTTATTTAATTGTATATTTGATATAAACGCAGTACTTTATTAGGAGTAAATCTGCCAGTTGTTAAATCCTAATTTCAATGTGACTGTTTGGAAAAGCAGGGTACAAATGAGAGACGTATTGTTAGAGTAGACAAGAATTAAGTGGAGTGCCACACGCGTCAGTGCTTCAACCCTCATTTCTAATCTAGATATCATAGATAATTTAGCTGGTCAAAGCATTTTCATATCTGGACTGATTTATTTCACTGAACAGTAAAATTGGCAGAGAATTTTGCCAGACTGAAAATCTGCCTCCAAGTAACTAATGTAACAAAATAAAAAGTTTGCACATCTGTGTAAATGATGTTTCATAGAACAAATGTTCTTTACTTCATTACTGGATTATACACATACTACCTACTACTGGGCTGAAGAGAATCCTTACCTTTTTAGCCTGACAGTATTCCTTTTCCATCACTTTCCCAAGTACCCATGGTCTCCTGGAGGAACCTGGAACTAAAGGTAAACTATTTAGTCAATTTTCAACTAAAGGTAGCTTAATTCAAAACATTTTAAAATTTTACCATTCAGATCAAAATCTTTAAACCTTTTTTTGATTTATACCCAAGTATATTTTCTTTGGTGCTGTCTGAAATGATCCATCAAAACAGTGATAAATCAGATTAATGACAAACAGAATATTCTACAATAAATCAGACATATTGCACTATAGGTACATATCAATGATTGACTCTGGATTACAGCAAAATTCTCAAATTATTGCACCAGTATCTTAAATCCCCACATTCTGACAAGGACATTTATTGTAGTTATTGGTTATTTTTCTATAAGCTTTTAAAATACTCTGCTACGCCCACTCTTCACTTCTTATTTTACCCCTGTATTCCCCAAGTAGTGGTGGATTTATTAGTTAACAAAAAAATTGCTTTTGTACAATATCAATTCAATATCTTTGCTGCCCAGGCATTTGTGGAATCTACATCATTCTGTTGATCTTTATAATACCATTGAGTTTTGAAGCATGACTATATAAATTAAAACAATGAAATTGACAAAGCTTTTAAACCCTGGATTGCCTAATACCTTGGGTCACCCTCCTGACTTGAAAGGCATAATATAAATGTGAATTTGTTGTTAAATATGTTGACTAAATTAGCCGTGTAAACCGGCTCCCAAAGATACAGTATATAGTTGATGAAAACTGTGTCAGTACATAAAATTCTATTAATGTTCAGTGTGAAATGCCAATTTCTTTGCTGCATTCACATGCTTAAACGGCTAATGAGGCATTTACAAAGAATGTACAGCACAGAAACAGACCACTTGGCCCAAACAGTCCGGACCAGTGTTTATACTTTATGAGTCAGAAGGATGAGGGTGCACAGGAGGCTGTTCCTCAGTAAATGAATGCTCTGATCTACCTGGTTATTGCCAGGAAGCAGAATTATTTTATTTTCACAATGATTATTCTCATGGCTGCTTCTAGTCTTCAAAGGGTCACCTGTTCAGGCCTCTATTCTTGGCCCTCTCCCATTTCCTATTAATGGGTGTCCCCTTCCGAACATCGCTCACAAGCAAAGGATCAGTTTCTGCATTTATGCTGATGACTCACAAGCTCTAACCAACCTTGATTCCTGAGGGGTTTCTGTTCTAACCAACTGCCTGTCAGATCCTGAATGAGCCTCAGTTTCTTTCTGCTAAACTTCAACAAACTGTGACCAACTTCTTCAGCTCTCACCAGTGTCTACGTGTGACTGACTCTCTCCAGCAACCTCCCTGGAAGCTCCCTCCAGCTAACCAACACCTGGTTTGACACCCACCCTATTTCAAACCCTAAATCCAGTCCACAACTGTGACCTCTCTCCTATCTTGCAACCATATTTTCATCACCTCAAGACTAGATTTTTCCAAAGCTCTCTTTACTGGTTTCCCTAACTCCACCCACTATGAGCTCAACTCAAATTGGGTTGGTTTTGTAGCCGGCCTCAAATGGAAAAAATGGCAGAATTCCAAACGACTCTCATGAATGTTTGGAATTGTGCACATGACAATACGTTTCCAAGTTAAAGAAATTATTATTATTTCAAGATCATTAAGACCTCATCCTTTAAATGGCAATCGGACATTGTATTGTGATTGCAGTATTTCTTGTAAAACTACTCACAACAACAAGATTGCATTTATACAGCGTCTTTCACGTCGGGAGGACGTCCCAAGGCGCTGGACAGTTGGGTCGGGACCCAAGCAGGAGGGAAATGGTCAGGGTGAAGGGAGGGAGCGAGGAGGGGGTAGAGTCGAGAGGTGAGGTGAAGGCACGGTTGAAGAGAAAGGTCTTGAGACCGGCCTTGAACGAGGAAAGGGAGGGAGCAAGGCGAAGGCACTGGGGGATGGAGTTCCAGAGCCTAGGGGCTGAGAGGCTGAAAGCCCGGCCACCGATGGTAGGGCGGGGGATGTGGAGCAGACCGGAGCCAGAGGAACGGAGGGTACGGGCAGGTAAGTAGGGGGATAGTAGGTCGGAGAGGTAGGAGGGAGCAAGGCCGTGAATGGCCTTGTAGGTGAGGATGGGGATCTCACGTCATTGTATGCAAGAATAGGTACACAAGGGATCCATCAGGGTACAATTAAATGCTTATAATGAGACTGTTTTTTCATGTAATGTCAGAGTGCTTAAAGTGGCTTCCAAAACACATTTTTAAGCACCTTGATTTCCCAGGTACAGCATTTTAGTTTTCTGAAGATTGATACAACCACAATCCTGATGCTCAAGTTGTTTTTAATAATAACAATAATACATTTTGCATTTGATATAACACCTTTCAAGTCAAGAGAATGTCTCAAACCACTTCACAGGCTGTACTGTAAACTTTTTTTTTTTGGTCAGCTGAGTGTCTGACACATGCACCAAATCATCCATCACCATGCTTAAGAGTATCCAAATCAAACCAAGTTACATGCATTCCCACTTAAATGTAGAAATTCCCAGATATTTTGGAGACATATTTCTGAAGATAAGGAAGTGGACAGTCTGAATGAATAAATCCATTGCACCCCACTGAGATTGTAGCATGCCAATCTGAAACCTCTCAGGTTTTCACTGGATGAAAAAACAGCTAAATGGTAGATTGTAAAGTTAGGTAAACAAAACACAAAATAAGAATAAAATTATTTAAAAAATTGAGGAATTAGGAAAGGAAAATACAAAATACAGTCCAATCCACTTTGCAGTATATGTTGTGAACCACTCTGAGACATCATGACAACATGGTAAGGTGCTATATCAAATGTAAGGATTACTATTATTTTGTTATTGACTTTCAGTGGCATTGTTTTAATATTACAATAATAACTGCACCTTAATGTTCAAATAGTTCACTGCAATATTAGCATTTTACATTATTTGCATTTTTCACTCAGTTGTTGGAATGTGGAATGCTCTTCCAAGTAAGGTGGTAGTGGCAGAGTTCTTTGGGTCCAATGGCCTCCTTTAGCACTGTAAATTTCTATGATTATATAACAAAAAATGTTCACCTACAACAAATATTTTACCACACTTTACAGTAAATCCTGCAAAGTGCTTTGATGTGAAAGGCAAAATTATCAAATTGAGTAATAATTACTTGCATATAACATAGTGCCTTATCATGGAAACCTGGAGGGATTATAGTTAGGTTTTAAGAAATGTAATAGAATGAATCTCACAATAGAACTCAAACATCCTCCAAGTGTTGTGGAACATACCCCTACAACAGTTTGTTAAAGTCGATAACCAAATATAGGGAAATTCGGAATGTGATACAGTCATGAGGCTGTCAAAGTGATTAGACCTGACACCACTAGTAGCAGCCAACGGATTGCCAACTGCGGGGAATCGTAACTTTATTATATAATATAGAGGCAAGTATTGCTAACTGTATCAGTAGCCCTGAGACCCAATAAAAGTTAAGAGATGCATTAATAAAGACATTTATATTGCGCACATTCTTAAATATACAAAACAGTTGAAACTTTCAGCATTGCCACCCATGTACTGTCGCATGCAAAGAATTGTGGTGGAAACCAAAGCAGCATTCTGTGCAGTCACAATGTTTCTTGGTCAGTGCAAAGTAAATAAATCTGGGGAGAGGATGTGCAGCACAACTTAAACACCCTCTCCTCCACACTTGACACTCTTGCCCCCATCACCTCCTGTACTGTTTCCTACTCTTGCTCCTCCCCCTGGTTCACCACCCAACTCCGCTCACTGAAGAGCCAGGTGCGGGCCGCTGAACGCACCTGGGTCAAATCTGGCTGGACCTCCTCAAAATCTACCGCTCCACTCTAGCCTCGGCCAAGTCGTCCTTCTACTCCAGGATAATGCTGGAGGCGAAGGACAACCCCAGGCTACTGTTCTCTACCACATCCCAACTCCTCCATCCCCCCGCCACCCCGCGCAGGTCAGCTCCTCCAACCTTCACTGCGAGGAGATGCTGGATTTCCTTGAATCCAAAATCAAGGGAATTCGCTCCGCGGTCACTTCCCCTCCAACATCCACCCACTCCCCACCCCTTCCCTCCCACACTCCGACTCCTACCCATCCCCCCTACACACTTTCGTACCCCTTTCGCCACCCTCTGTCACCAAACTCATCCTATCCCTGAAACCCACCACCTGCTCCCTTGACCCCATCCCCACTCCACTCCTTATCTCCCAGCTCCACCTCCTTGCCCCACATATCACAGACATCATCAACCTGTCCCTCTCCTCTGGCTCTATTCCCATTCCCTTAAAAACTGCCACCATCACTCCCACCTTGAAAAAACCCTCCCTTGATGCGTCGCAGCTATCAAGCTACCGGCCCATCTCCAACCTCCCCTTCCTGTCCAAGGTCCTGGAACGAGTTGTCGCCTCCCAGCTGCGCTCTTTCCTCTCCAACCATTCATTATTTGAACCCCTTCAGTCGGGTTTCCGTGCTGCCCATAGCACAGAAACTGCCCTGGTCAAGGTCACCAATGACATCCTGACCATCTGTGACCAGGGCTCCCTCTGCCTCCTCGTCCTCCTCGACCTATCGGCAGCATTCGATACGGTCGACCATGCTATCCTCCTCCACCGCTTGTCCTCCCACCTAAACCTTCAAGGCCCTGTCCTTGAGTGGTTTAGGTTGTACCTCTCCCACTGTCTTCACTTTGTCTCCACGAATGGCTTCTCCTCCACCCTCCGCACTGTCTCGTGCGGCGTCCCTCAAGGCTCTGTCCTCGGTCCCCTCCTCTTCACCCTCTATATGCTCCCCCTGTGGTGACATCATCCGCAGACATGGGGTTAACTTCCACATGTATGCGGATGACACCCAACTCTACCTTTCCTCCTCTACCCTCAACTCCACGACCACCGATGTCCTGACAGCCTGCCTGTCCGACATCAAGTCCTGGACGAGAGATAACTTTCTTCAGCTCAACGCGCGCAAAACTGAGACCCTCCTGATTGGCTCACGTCAGCGCCTCCGCACCTCAGGCGCTGACAGCATCAGCATCCAAGGCTGCACTCTCCACCTCTCAAAGCCATCAGGAACCTCGGGTTCTGTTCGACCCTGAGCTGTCCTTTCTCCCTCATATCTGCGCCACAACTGGCACCGCCTTCCATCACCTCCGGAATGTCGCCAGACTATGGCACTACCTCACCCCTCACGCTGCTGAAGCTCTGGTCCACGCCTTTTTTCACCTCAAGGCTGGACTATGGGAACTCTCTCCTCGCCGGCCTTCCCGGCACCTCCCTCCACAAGCTGCAGGTCATTCAGAACTCTGCAGCTCGTGTACTGTCCCGCACCAGGCTTCGGGACCACATCACTCCCACCCTCGCTCGCCTCCACTGGCTCCCCATCCCCCAGAGGATCGAATTCAAGATCCTCACCTACAAGGCCATTCACGGCCTCGCTCCCTCCTACCTCTCCGACCTACTATCCCCCTACCTACCTGCCCGTACCCTCCGTTCCTCTGGCTCCGGTCTGCTCCACATCCCCCGCCCCAACCACCCTACCATCGGTGGCCGGGCCTTCAGCCTCTCAGCCCCTAGGCTCTGGAACTCCATCCCCCAGTGCCTTCGCCTTGCTTCCTCCCTTTCCTCCTTCAAGGCCGGTCTCAAGACCTTTCTCTTTGACCGTGCCTTCAGCTCCCCTCTCGACTCTCTACCCCCTCCTCGCTCCCTCCCTTCCCTCCCCTCACCCTGACCATTTCCCCCATGCTCGGGTCCTGACCCATCTGCACAGCGCCTTGGGACGTCCTCCCGACGTGAAAGGCGCTCAATAAATGGAATGTTGTTGTTGTTGTTTTAAACAGCTTGCACAGTTAATTAGATAATTAGGTACAGCAAAGAGTAAATGGTGTTGGTTGCCGTTAGAAACTGAACAGATGGTAATGCAATTAACACCTCAATTTAAATCCTGGAAGAGTTGCGTGAGGCATTCGCCAGTCTATCATCAGCGTCCACTAAAAGGAATCTCTATGAATAATTTATGTTGCATTTTTATTGTGAAATTTATTTAATTTTTTTTAGACTGCCTTTTTTTGTTCCTGCAATGCTTATCCTTAAGGGTAGGAGGAAAACACATGAGCAGCATACCTGGCAAGGTTGAATTTAATCCTGTAAACAAGTGTAAGGTATAAAATAAAATCTAATTGACAGAAGATTTGTTGACAAAGAAAAATCATCCAGTGTAAATACTGTGATTCTCATTTTTTAAAAAATTGAATAACCATCCTTACATTTGATAATAGAGTCTTGCCACGTTAAAATGTCTCAAATGGCTTCACAGGATTTGATTTTAAAGTGTAAAGTCTCTTTAAAATCTGGGAATTTGTAGGGTAGTTGGCTGCCATGTTCACCCACAAAATACACACATCCACATCACTTCACAGTATAGTCTGTGAAGTGCTTTGAGACATCTTGACCACATGATAAGGAGCTATATCAAATGCAAGGATTATTATTTTTTCATAAAACTGTTTTGAAAACTAAAAGCTCAATCATTCATAGAGGAAGGAACAACAAGCGGGATGGTTCCCTGGTATTGCCAAAGAAATAACTTACATCATGCATTAAAATTAAAAATCTTTTTGCTTTTCATATTGCCATTATTAACAATTGAATGCAAGGTTCAAGTATCTCACAATCCTCTCTCCATATCTAAGTCAGAATATTTGAAAATAGGAGTTTGAAATAATTCAATGCAAGTCATCACAATAATGGTTAGATTTCTGTGATTTTCCTCTATTTAATAATACTATACATTTAACCATTCATAATACAGTATATTTACTTCTCAATAAATAACTTCTCACCTGGCTTAAGATCCAATGCCCCCAATGACTCTGAATGCAGGAAGTAAAGGGTTGGGCCAACAGTAAATAGAACATAGTTATCATGTCGTTCATCCAGAATAATGAGGACCAAATCCCCAACTTGGAAACTAGAAAAGAAAGCAGAATGTTAATTCAACCCATATTAAACATGGGTATAAACAAGTATTCAATCATACACACCTGTTACCTATCAAGTCCAGGAGGAAACTTTCCCAACCGAATTAATTTTATATACAGTATTGAGTTTGGTGTCCTAATGAGTAAGGACATTTTAGGAACTATGCCACTGTTAAGTTAAAGCTGCTAAAAAAACTTTTTTAAAAATCACTAGAACTAAATGGATATAATTATAATAGTTACCCATTCTCTCTAAAGTGTTTAACATCAGACAGGAACACAATGACTGAATCACTCTGAGAAGGCAGAAAAATCATGCATTACTAGATTTCAGTTTGAATCAATAACTATTTGTGATTAACTGTGATGTTGCTGCACAAGCACCTTAAAGATATGGTATCAGTTCCCTTTACTTGTATTCATAAATAATATCCATTACTGATCTGGGGCTATAAGCAACAGGCAGAAGAATGCAAATCAAAATTAAAATTTGTATCTACTCAGTGATGATTTAACAGTATCCATAATTTGTCATATACCAAATTGCAGTGCTCTTAAATGTTGAGATATAACTTTAATACAATTTGCTTGCTTCCTTATGCACCATCATGCAAACAAAGTAGGAAGAATACACTGTGCTGTACTAAATCTGAAGTAAGTACTATTCAAGCCCACTAAAAGGATCTCTTGATTTGAAAAGTCGAGTTTCTGTAGCAAATTAAAGTAGTAAATGCTAATTTAGGGGAAGGAAAATTCCTGAAGAGCTTGTTTATCATCAATGGCATTGAAAATTCACCTTTTCCCCCCCAAAGTGGACCACTCCATCTAGAGGCTGACATGAGAAATAATCAAACTGGGTTGCTAGAAAGGGATGTAAATCTCTGAACTTCTGGTTCTGAGGCAGGCACTTAGCCCCTGTGATCCTGCAAAGCCCTGCTTACTCCATTCAGCCAGATTTAAAAAAATCATAAGGCAAAATACTCCTGATGCTGGAAATCTGAAATAAAAACAGAAATCCCTGGGAATACTCAGCGGGGAGAGAGGAAAGTGAATTACCGTTTCAGGTCGATGACCTTTTACCATCAACCTGACGAAAGGTCATTGACCAAAAACGTTAACTTACTTTCCTCTTTCCATAGACGCTGCCTAACCTGCTGAGTATTCCCAGCAACTTTTGTTTTTATATTAGAAAAACATTACTTCTACCAGGTAATCCAAACCAAGATTTTAAACTTGTTTGTAAACACTTATTTCCTAAGCTTCAACTTTAATTTTAAAAGTTAAAATGGCTGCAGGAGGGAGGGCACCAGTCTTCACTGACCTGTCGCTGAGCACCCTACAGGTGGCTTTACAGGGCACGTCGATTTGCCAAGACTCTTCACATAAGGATCCGGATTCAGCAGCTGGTGCTGAATAGGCTTGGTATGCAGAATTTGGACTTGGACCTTGAACATCAAAGTGGCTGACATGCCACAAATTGTCCTCTAAAGGACTCCTGCCATGCTGAAAACTTATGAAGAAACTGAGGCTTGGGGCAAGAGCTGCTGGTAGGGGTTACCTTGGAGTCTGGGCTTGTGAACACACATTGCTGAATGGAAAGTGATTGTGTCGCAGTTGTGGGCAGGAAGATGGTGACAATGCTCTCACGTATTTCATGCTGAGCTGTGTTGCCCACCTGAAAGCTCACAGCAAGTTCCTTTATTTCAAGATCCTCACACTCATCTTCAAATTCCTTCATGCCCTGGCACCTCCCTACTTCTCTGACCTGCCAAACCATTACCAGCTGCCTCCGCTCGATTAACTCCGGCCTCCTACTTGTCCCTCATGCTCTTCATTCCAGCATCAGTAGCTGTGCTTTCAGCCACTATGCCCCGAAACTCTGGAACACTCTTCCTCTATCCCTCCGCCTTGCCCCCTCCTTCCCCATCTTTAGATCGTGCCTGAAGACCTTGACCTCTTTGACTGTGCCTAAGGTCATCTTCCCCAGTGTGACTATCCCAAACTACCATATTAACGAGGTCTCTTTGGAGCTGAAATGGCTCCAAAGTGACATGCTTGGCAATGGATAGTCAGAATCGAGCTAGCCCTCTGTGGTGGTCTCGGTGGTCCAATTCCCCAGTAAGGCGGGTCCACAGTATTCCAGGGCACTGCTGATGGCAGCCCAGCCAACCTGGCTTATGTGGCAGGACTTGGAAAGATAGATCAGACACTGAGGGAAGGGATTCATCTCACTCAACTCCTATGAATTCTACAAGCCAAAGCCCTAATGGGTAGGGTGGTCGTAGCTGGATAAACAGAAGGAAAGCGTGCCAGATAGTGCTTTCAATGGCAAACTATGTGGTTTCAACTGGTTAGATTCCAGGAGTACCATAATGCACATTTAGCGTTTGCCAGCCTGCGCTCAACTCTTCAAAATGTTTTTTTTAAATCAGCTGTTATGTCACAATCTTTCACTTAACATACGTAATTCTTAACATGACATTTCAACAGTATAGATGCTCATGTCAACTTTTACTTGTGAAGTCCTGATATAAACACACAACAAAAATACACGCAGAAAACATAATGAGCCCATTATGTGCACAGGCATCAGGCACCGTGGGGGAAAATACACCAGTTTGAGGTACAAGGGCAAAAGGCATGTGTATTAGGTGTTGTGTGGAAACCCAGGTGGATTAAAGGCCATCTCGAAATGCACATGTATCATGGATTGTGTGGAAATGCACGTGTATTAGGGGTCCTGTGGATATGTATGTGTATTAAGGCCATGTGCAAATGCATGTGAGCATACAAAATTATAGCTCTATTATATAATTATCAAATCAAAGAAAAAGATTGGCCAGTTAAATGGTTAACTATCGAATTAAGGGCACCGGGAATTGACATTGTACATATGACGCATATATAGATTGTGAATCCATTAATTATAAAAGTACTTTTATGTTTAGTAACAAAGAAAAATACTTACTCTCTAATGGCTATTTTGTCAGAATGCCTGGAGGACACAGATGACATACTCTGAGACATCTGAAAAATTAAATTTAGTGCAATCAACCACAAAAGAAACATTTCATTGAATAATTTCTGAAAAACAAAAAATACGCTTTTAGCAATTAAACACACATTAAACAAAATAAGCAATGTTAATTGGCTGCAATATAATCCTGTGTTTGTGGGTTCAAAATTTGAGCTACAGGATGAAGAGAGAACATGAGCGACTGAAGTCATTAAATGTGCACCATGACTATTCATTCTACAAGATAAAATATACAAGGGTTGACATGGAGATTTTCCTGCATCTCTAGATAAGAGGGACACAAACAAATGTTGGCAGTGCCGCAACAATTCTTCCCCATACCCCTCACACCATCACTTACCTCCTCTCTCAATGCAGAATTCTAAAGGATAGAGGGATTAAAGGATATGGGGATAGGGCAGGTAAATTGAATTAGGTTAGAAGGTCAGCCAAGATATTATTAAATGGCAGGGCAGGCTCGAGGAGCCAAATGGCCTACTCCTCCTCCTACATCTTATGGTCTTAGGATTAAAATAATACTTGCATTTGATATAGCACCTTATCACATCTTGAAGACGTTTCAAAGCGCTTCACAGAATATACCGTAAAGTGAATTGACTGTATATTTTGTGGGTAAAACAACTGTGCACAGCAGTGTCCCACAAACAGTAGAGTGACCAAATTATTATATTTTCTTAAAGAATGGTTGTTGGTGAGTATACAGAAGCAGAACTATGAAATAACTGGATCTGACTGATCTGACTATCCAAATTTGTTTTCCTATTCTACTTTGTTTTTTTAAAAAAGATACGTTTAAAAATATAAAAACTAAAAGCAAACATATTCTGGATGTAAATGATGATGCAGAATGAGGCTATAGAACATGCAATACTAACAGAGAATGCGCTAAACAAATGATTTACTGTAGTATTTATTCTGAAACTATCAAGCTGACAATGACGAGCATCAGTTTTGGAACAAACAAAATATATTTTAACTGAACCAGTGTGGTTCAGGTATGTAAATCAGAAATGTACCAATCCAATACTTACCAATCTTTGATTTAAACGTTTATTCTCCTCTTCTTTCATTTGTAATGTCTAGGAGGAAAAAAAACATATGCTAAAACAATAACATCAGATGGCTGATACCATCAAGTAGGAATAAATACTTGAAAATAGCTATATAGACACACTTCATTAGGAAAGTGACAAGTCATGACTTGTTGCTAAATAGGAAAGATCTGATCTAGTCAGAAACCAAAAGTTAGAAGTACAATAAAAGGAGAAATATCAATCAAAATAAACATTGGAAACATTTTAAATTATTGTCTTGAATAAATCTTTAGTACACTTCACATTTGAACATAATACCTTCAGTACTTCAATACGGTCAAACAGCTTTCCCAGGCTGCAATTCCCCAATCAGTTTTTAGAGGGAATACCAATTATTTGGGGGCAATTTTCTCCACTTTTCCTTTCCTTGATTGCCTGCTGGTAAATGGTGTCAATGAGCTCCATGCACCCTTAAATTATCTTACCCATGTTGTGGTTTATCATGTGAGAACCTAGACAGTGAATATTGGCAACCTGTACAACTATGGACATGAATCATAGACAAGGCCAATTCTGCATGTATTCAACATCCATTTCCAGCAAGATCGCTGGACAATCAGAACTCTGACTATCTTCTCTCTGCTGTAGGTCAATTGAGGTCAGTAAATGTTCCAACTAAATTATGATCTTTTGGTCCATAAAGCCAGTGCTTCATCAAGTAGTGTCTTTTCATACTAAAACATCAGGTAAAATCTTAAATATCATTCAATTGAAAAACATGAAAACTGCATATTCACAATCTAAATTATTTACATTCTGAACATACACACATGGTATCCGTTTAAAAATACTTTTACAGTGTACAATATATTTCAATTGATTGAAGTCATTACTCAAAAGTGGACAAGTATGAACAGAGGCTGCGGTTAGAGTGGTTTTAGCCCCCTCCCCACCACCCCAACCCTTCTCCAGTTTTGGCTAATAGGATGTTGCGGCTGGACAGTGGTGCTACTTTCTGTGTTGTATAACAGGATATGAAGTAAAGTGAGTGCAACAGTCAATGAGTTGAATGAAGGGAGGTTGGATCCAGTGCCGGGACACATACATGCACTTCATAGTCTTCAGCAAAGTATGGTTAGAATGCACGAGGAGCCTGCCAAAGAATACTTTCACCTGTTGCTTAGGAGTATGACTGCATTAATTTTCAACCATGAGTTGAGTGAGAAACATCCATCTAATAGAGCTGGAAACAAACCATTCTCAAATATACTGAGCTATACCATTGGCATTTATGCACAAAATTATAAATGTACAGATAAATAATCTCCAATGTGAGGTTGTCAATATGTACTGTGAATGTCATTTATGATGTTTAGGCAAAAAAAGTATTAAGGTAATATCAAATCTTAGAAGTTTAATTATTACCATTTGTGCAATAAACACATATGTCTAGCAGTGTATATATATTGAAATACAGCTTTCAACATTGTGTATATACAATACTGAACAAATCCTCTTCCATTCTTCCCAATCTATTCTTAAAACAGCTTCAGAAAGCATCTTTTCTGCATCAGTAAAATACACTTATCATTCACACAGGTGGCCTGAATGAAAATGATAACATAGCCCTAATAATGCCAAACATGAACAAGTCTAATGTATATTCGTGCCCATTAAGAAGCTGGTTGAAAGTGTCCAAGTTTATTTCACTAAAGCAGCTTAGGAGACTTTCATCCCACGTCTTGGCTTGGTTCAAATTCAGGTCACAGAGGTGAAAAGGTAATATTTTAACCCAATTGTCACCTAGTTATTCCCTTTTTAAATTAAATGTAGTTTCTCCTGGGAACTGGTCATTGATAAAAAGGTTAAAATCTAATTAACAGTCTTTAAACAATTCCACATATTGTGATGACATTTTTCCTCCTCCAATGCCTCTACCAAGTGCTGATAACGTTATGTTAAGAGTAAGGAGCAATAACTAAAATGATACAATTTTTAAAACGCATTGTAATGATTGTTGTGGAACAAGTAGTTAAAACCAGCCATTAATTGTGAAGAAAACAAAGAGCCCAGCAAAAAATCAGGTAACCTGTGTCACAAGGACACCTGTAGCAAGGGATCTCAATTGTCTTAGGCGCTTCTCTCCAGACTACACCATCTCAGGACTGCCTCTTACTCCGCTAGATTACTCCCAATCCCATGGGTTTCCCTTCTTCAGGGAGCCTTGATTATCTCACTGGGAGAGCAATGTTCCAGTCATTTGGAAGCATCGTGCTAAAGGCCTAATTGACTTTCACTATGAACAGAGAGAACTATAGGCCTGTACTGTCAACCCCCAGATTGTCTGCCTGCCTCCCAGCCTGAGCCGACTCTACTCCGGGGTGTGAGAATTCAGCGGTGTTCCCCCTCACAGCCTGGTCTCCTGGTTTCCTAAAGAAATATTTAATAAGTTGTGCCAGTGTTAAGCACTCTGAGAATCTATAATTTACCCACATAAAGGATGCTATTCATGAAGGTTTTTGGTGAATAGTTTGCTATAGCTGCTTTCCCATTTACTTGTATAGACCTGCTCTCTGGTGTTTACACGTTTTTGTTCAATACGACAATTACCAGAACAAGTGGTGCTGTCTTGCACTAACGGTTTGAGTCCTTGAGTGCAAAGTACATTTTAGCAGACTCTGGTCAGATACAATGAGTCAGAAATCGGAATTTCTAAATTGTAAACATTAAATATTTCTTATAAGTGTGCCGTAACTACCAGATTATGTACTAAAAATAAGAATGACTTATAAAACAGAATAGCTGAATAATTCAGTGAGTTCTATTGAGTTTATGAATCACAAAACAAAAATTTGGGTGATCTATGCAACCCGTGCATCAATCGATTCTGGCATTGTCTTTTGAATGCATCTACATCACAAGATCTCCTGCAGAATCACATCCATATATAGGTTACTTACCCTTTCTAAAACCATAATCCTATGTTTCTCCTCAGACATGTGAATGGTTTCACTGTAACAGAACATAGTTTTGATTAAACATTGAGACATAGTACTTAATGCATACATATAAATGATCAAGTTTAACACAATATAATTTAACATGGTTAGTGAGCTCACTTTTGCTAAACCAATTCTAAGAGCTCTAAATAATCAATCAGAAGTAGATTGTGAACTAGAGTAACTATCTAAGGAAATAGTATTCCAGTCAAACTCCCTAACTGCACTAAACTAAGAAAAACACAAGATCTTGAGGATGTTAATACTGATTCAAAGTCTGGAATTTAATCGGGTGGAGATGAACTCACTAAAACAGCTTTCTCATCCTGGAATGGCACAGGTGTGAATTCAAAGGCAGCGGCTGAAATTGAACATTAAGTTTTACTGAAAACACTGGGGTATCAAAGAAGAATCAATCGAGGACAGTCGATTCAAAGGGTTTTGAAATAGGTTACGTCGTCCACCTACTTCCCTGCAACCACCCTCCTACCACCACACCCAGTTTCTGACCACCAAGCTTCCCTCTTCTGTCCCCTGCTGGCTGATACAGTGTCCCTCTCTTCCAGCACTGTGCCACCCTCTCAAAAATGCAGTCATCATCTGCCTTCAAACAACAAGAAGATTACATTTATATAGTACCTTTCACGTCGGGAGGATGTTAAAAAATACCACCCTTTGATCCTTCAAATTTTGGCAACTACCAGCCCATCTCAAATTTGCCCTTCATCTCTAAAGTCCCAGAATGTGTTATTGTCACTCAACTTCACTCACACTTTTCCCTCCATTTCCCATTCAAGACCTTCCAGTATAGTTTCTGTCAGGCCCAAAGCACTGAGCCAGCCCTTGTCAATGTCATCAATGATATCCTCTCTCTTTCTCTCTCTCTGTGACCAGGGCTCCTTCTTTCTCCTTATCATCCTGGACCTTTCCGCTGAACGTTCGATACAGTTGATCATGCTCAACAACAACTTGGATTTATATAGCGCCCTCCACGCTGGACGGCGTCTCAGAGCTCTTTACAGTAACTGATCCCAGGACCGAGCCAGGGGGAGGGGGAGGAAGGTGACGAAAGGCGCGGTCGAAAAGAAAGTCTTCAGCGGAGACCTGAAAATGGGAAGGGAGGGAGCGAGACGAAGGGAGTGAGGAAGGCAGTTCCAGAGCCTCGGGGCACAGTGGTTGAAGGCACGGCCGCCGAGGGTGGAGTGGAGGACTCGGGGGATGCCAGACCCCATGGAACGAAGGCAACGGGTACTATTTTGAGGAGAGAGGAGGTCAGAGAGGTAGGGGGGTGCTGAGGAGTGCAAGGACTTGAATACAAGGGTGAGGATCTTGAAATTGATCCTCTCTGGGATAGGCAGCCAGTGCAGTCTGGCAAGAACTGGGGTGATCGGGGAGCGGAGTTTCGTGCGGGTGAGAATGCGGGTGAGTTTTGAATGATTTGGACTTTATGGATGGTAGTGGATGGGAGACCGGTGAGGAGGGCTTTGTCAGTCTTCAGATCACACCTGAAGACCTTCCTCTTCAACTATGCCTAATCACCTCCTATCTCTCCGTAACTTGGGAACAAATGCTCTCCTCCTAAACTGCTTCTCCTCTACCTTAGCAGGACCGTAATCTCCAGGTTTGAGTCCCACTTTACACACCGCCATCATTTAGTTTCTGCAAATAGTTTCTCCTCATACCCCCGCACCGACGGAATATCCCAAGGCTCTAGCCTTGATCTCTTTTTCCTCATTTATATGCTCCTTCCCGGCGATATTATCTGCAGACATGGAGTCAACTTTGACTTGTATGCAGATGACACCCAAATCTACTTTTCCTCCACTAGCTGCACTCCAGGTCCAATATTCTGTCAGACATCAAAGCCTGAATAAGCGCCAACTTTCTGCCTCAAACCCTTCACCTTGCCAGTCTTCAGATCACACCTGAAGACCTTCCTCCTCAACTATGCCTAGTCACCTCCTATCTCTCTGTAACTTGAGAACAAATTAACAGCTCCAAGGTGCTACCCCATGTGAAGGGAGCTATATAAATGCAAGTTGTTAATACAGCTCTTGTGTACTGAATGAAGCATTAACACCATTAAAATGGAACGTTGTATTAAAGCCTGTTAAAATTGTGAACTTCAAGAGGTACAAAGATCAAGTTTGTAGGGTTTATAAAACATGGAATTCTTCCATTCAATTAACAAACACTTAAGACAATAAACTAACCTTAACTGCAACTTCCTCTAGATATCTTGTCTAAAGGACCATGCAAGAGAAGAGTGAGTGGCCATTTTAATCTGGACAAGATAGAGGCAAATGGGCTACGGCTACAAAATTGTTCATCAATATTGGATGAAACATCAAAAATATTTTTTTTAAAAAAATCAAGAGCTCCTCCATAGCAGCTCTGCAGTTGTCATCTCATGCATTTTTAAGTGCATGACCCACCACCTTACTCATCAAAGGGTGATCATGTAGAATGCTATTTAAACTATTTTGCTAATGTTTGGCAATACCAAATGCAAGACGATATGATTTGCAAGCCAGAAAACTGTACATTTTTTATGAGTATGTTTATTCTATGCACATAATAGCACAAATCTCTGTGACATCCACATAATGGAATCAAAGTTTATTTAAATTTGACACTACATTTGAAAGGAATTTGTGCATAAGATTGAAGGACTGATCAGTCATTCTGTGTTTAATAGTTAGGTCTTCTATTATTGTTTGGATTTCACAGATTCTTCCAGATGGGAATAATGCAATCAAAAGTGACCCTTTCCATACAAGGAGCTTCAATTGACAGGAATGTAATTGTATATTTTTTGGGGGTCAGCCAGGTATCCAACAAATGCACACACTGCCATGCTTACGAGTATCCAAAACGGAAGAGTTCTACATTGGAAATAGAACTTAACATATCTAAATTCGTGGAAGATATGAACATAGGTGGGAGAGTAGGCTATGAGGATGACCCACAAAAAATGCAAAGGGAAATAACAGGCTAGGTGAGTGGGCAAGAAGGTGGCAGATGGAGTATAACGTGGGGAAGTGTGAAATTATTCATCTAGACAATGAAAATAGAAAAACGGATTATTTTCTAGAGGGGGAGAGACTAGGTAGTGTTAGTGTTCAGAGGGATTTGGGTGTCCTTGTACACCAGTCACAAAAAGTTAGTATGCAGGTACAGCAAGCAACTAGGAAGCCTAATGCCATGTTGGCGTTTGTTGCAAAAGGGTTAAAGTACAAGAGTAGGGAAGTCTTGCTGCAGTTCAAACCAATTGGTACTACTAGTCAAACCAATTAAAACTGGATAGCATGCCATTGTGCTTGTCCAGCTAGGACCACTGTACCAGTTAACTGTATATAAACATTGCAAAGCACTAAATTCAAATTGTAAAAGAAAAATTGGCTAGATTTTAATGGTGCATTTGACAGCGTCCAATATCATTGAGACGTCTCTAAGTCCTTCACAGATATACTGCAAAGTAATGCGGCTGGATATATATTGTAGGTGAACATGGCAGCCAACTTATGCACAGCACAAACAGCCATTGTGCGAGAGACCAAATTTTACTTTGGGGAATTGCTGGTCAAGACATCAGGAGGAATGAGAAACTCTGTTATTTGTTATAACTCCTATGTTGCTCAGCCTGTTTAGCAGTAGACTTGGGATCAACAAAATTTTCAGTTCAATGCATAGTTCCATGCAGCCATTCATCCTTATAAGAATTGATAAAGTGACCAACATATATATCTATATATGGAGTACCCTAGAAATGGATTTTTATGTCCCAAAGTTCTTTTTCCAGCAGAGACGCCATTTATGTTACAGGTTTCGCAAACAACAACAGAATTACATTTGTGTAGCGCCTTTCACGTCGGAAGGACATCCCAAGGCACTGAACAGACAGAGTTATGGGGATCGGGGTAGGGGAGGGTGGAGGGCAGGGGTGAAGCAGGGAGATCAAAAGCACGGTCGAAGAAAAGGGTCTTCAAATTGGCGAGGGAGGGGACGAGACAGAGGGACTGCGCGATGGAGTTCCAGAGGGTAGGTGTAGAGTGGTGGAAGGCCCGCTCGCCGATAGTGGGGTGAGCAAAGGGGAGGGACATGAAGCAGGCCAGAGCCCGCTGAGCGGAGGGAGTGAACAGGGTGGTAGGGGGTTAGGAGGTCGGAGAGGTAGGGGTGAGCAAGACCGTGGAGGGCTTTGAAGGTGAGGACTAGGATCTTCACCTGTATCCTCTGAGTGATGGGAAGGCAGTGGATTTGGGCAAGGATGGGGGTGATAGGGTCGTGGAGTCTAGTGCGGGAGAGGACGTGATCTGCAGAGTTTTGGATGATCTGCAGCCTGTGGAGGGAGAAGCTGGGGAGGCCGACAAGCAGGGAGTTTGCATAGTCGCGCTTCAATGTAATGAAGGCGAGAATGAGAGTTTCGGTGGACTGCTGTGTGAGACAGTGTCGGAGCCGGGCGACGTTGCGGAGGTGGGGAAAGGCAGAGTGGGTCATGGCGCAGATATGGGGTAGAAAGGATAGTTGAGGCTTAAACAAGACCCCAAGGTTCCGGACTGGCTTAAAAGGAACTTTTAGAACTCTCAAACCAAAATAACTAGAATAATCAATGCAAACACATTTCGTCTACTGCTTTTTGTTGACGTATTTGGTGAAAGGAGTTCTAGAAGCCTTAATAGGCGATATAGAGAATCTTACTATGAAGGTAATTAATTATATATATGTATAAATCGTCAGCCAGTGGCCTTTCTGATTGAATTAACCAACTTGCTCAGTCAAACTTTTGCCAGATTGTGATAGACCATCTTTGTTTGCAGTGTACTCTAGTCTACTCTATGGCCCATGAGTCAAGTATTGAGTGGGCGGGAAGGGGGGCGTTCTAAGTATTTGTAGTCAACAAAAGCACCAGAAGATGTATGGAAGAGCTCTAGAGTGACCTACCTTTTCATTCTGTTCCATGCCTATGGAGAACCATGTCCCCATCCCCCTTTCATATAAGAGACATTCAGATAAAGAAGGCCCTTTGGTCCATCTAATCATATTCTTCCAGGATGTCCTCTCATTATAACATCAAGTGGTTTCTTAAATGTGTCCACTGTCCTGTCCTCAACAACCCTGCCTACTAACCTATTCTAATCGTTAATTACTATCAGGAGTAAAAAAAATAGTTCCTCATGTCTGCTCACCGTAAAGCCATAGTGCTTGCCTCCATTGCAGAATCGATTTTTCCTTCTTCCATTATGGTAGCTACTGAAGCAAGTCTTTCAGGGTCAAATAGAAGATCAGTTGTACTAGCAGCAGCCTCAATTCCCGAAGGTCCAGGTGAGGAAAAGATAGTAGAAGAAACTAGCGCATTACTCCGTAGCCTGTTGAGCTCTTCATCAAGCTTTTTCTTTTCTTGCAGCAAAGTAGCTCTGTCTGCAGAGAGCGATTCTATCAAAACTGAACACAGAAACATGTGCTTAGAATCTTTGTTTTCCATCCAATACAAGACCTACTATGCTATAGCTCATCATAAAATATAACCGTGTGCACATATAATGTTAGTGATTATACAGCTTCAATGATTAAGCAGAAATGATCAGCTTTTAAACAAGTGCCAGAGCCATCTGTGTTTGAGCAAAACACCAATGGAACATTCACAAATTTAGTGGACAGATTTGAGTTTTCACATCATAACTTTTTTTAAAATAAACTGTAGTCATTACATTTTCTAGAAATCTAACTTCATAAGTTATCATTTTTGTTGTAGTGTCAGATCTTAGCTCACCTCGATCTTTTTCTTGTTGCTGAGTTAGCTTTTTGAGCTGCTCGCTCAGTTCATTAATAATTTGTTCTTTTTTCATTTTTTCTCTGGTTAAAACGGTGTTGAAGTTGGTCTGAAAAAACAAATTATTCAAGCATGTTGATTCTACAGGTGACTACTTTGTTAATGGATCACACTTGACTTTTTGCTGAAATTCTACCCTTCTTTCCCAACTCGGCTGCCAGATCCCTGGTGATTGAAATTACAATGGTAAATAAAGGAAGTTCTCCAGACACCATGCAGGAAACTATGATGCACATCACTGCACGTTTTGGCAGAAATAACCCTTCGCCGCCTTCTTGAAGTGCAAGTTTCGAGATGACGAAAGCCGATTAAGAGGATAAACCAACTCAACTAACCAACCTGCTCATTGGATACCATCTCTTCAACTCGATTTATAAGCTCTTTTACAGTTCACTTAAAACACCTGCCGACATAACAATTATTAGCATTATTTTTGATGGTTGAAAAGGTGCTGCACCCAATTGATGACTGTTCCAGATGAAGACAATAACATGCCTTCAAAGATCTGCTGCAGATTCACAGTTCAGTTGATATGTACATCAATTGTGACACATTAAAATTTGTGCAATGAGACAGACTTATCAATAGTAGCCTGGGTCCAAGGTGATTTGTAAGTGTTGTCGTAAGACAACAATTATTTTTATTCTTTGTGTTTAAGTGTTTAATTATTTGTTTAGCATGTACACGCTTGGCTATGCTTTGTAAGTCACGTAGATATTGGGGTGGGGAGAAACAATAGTATTGATGGCATGATTTACTCATTCATTTTAATTAGCCAATAACTTACAACAAATCCGATCCATATAGCACTTTTCACTAAGGCGCTGTAAATACACTTTCATCTTTACAATAAGTTATATTTAATGTCCTTTATAAGTAGAAAAGATTTCGATAAGTATCTTAAATACATTTATGAATGCGAGTTCTATCTATCTGCTAATAACAGTTTGTAAACTGTATTTTTACCTGTTTCAATTAGTCAAAACTGTGCCTTTAAAGATTATGATTGTGAAAGATCAATTGATCCCGTGGCCTGGAATACATTTTTCAAACCATCTTGTGGATGGGGGGGAAACAATGGTCAGGATTTGTGTAAAAGAATGACAAGCTGGTATGTTCTCCTAATGCAATATGCAGGTTAGGTAAAGGGGATATAGACATTGAGCAGCGGCTTCTGGAGGCAACAGAGCATGCCTTGCTTCCATTTATTTCCTAGCTCGTGGTCAGGTTGAATGACTCTGTGCTGCAACCATGTAGTACTTCTCCTCGTTTCAATGCTAGATGATAGGAACGTGTAAATCTCACTAACTAGGCAGTCAGAAGTTCGCTTACCATGCCAAGCTGTTATTGCCTGTTCCACTTCACACATGCTGAAAACTTTCTAAGGAAGATGTAATAAAAATTCTTGCTCCTTATCACGGATTTGAAAAGGCTCAAAGTGCTACACAGAATATACTGTAAATTGACTTGACTGTATATTTTGTGGGCGAAACACCAGTGTCCCACAAATAGCCATGCATTGAGTGACTAAATTATTATTTTTTAAAAAGGGATTTTTAGACCCGGAAAAACAATTTGTCAATCAAGTAACAAACAGGTTCCTACTTATTGCTAGGTAAACAGAGGTGTATGGAGTAAGGAAACGTGCCTTACATTTCGCCCTGCCTGGGAATCAAACCTGGGTCCTCTCGCTTGCCAGGCAAGTGCTCTAACCAATACTCTTACAGGACTGTATACTTTTCCTGGAATCCTTGAGTGCGACTCAATCAATGGAAATAAAAGTCATAACCTGATATTAGCTCTTTCAAAGTTTGGCTCTCCAGGAATTTCAGGCCATTATTGTCCAAGCTTTATGTATTATGGACTCCAATATGCACTGCGAGAAGGACCCTATATACAAGTTGTTGCTGGACTTGGAGAAATCTAACGCACTGTGAAACTTTTTTTAAACAAATGGAGGGATACTTATTCTGTAATTCAAGAAGTACATTAAAAATGAAACAATTTGAAAGTGGTTTGCTGAGAAATAGGTAGTTATTTTAAAAATAGAACCAACATTTACTGGAAATCATGGTACAAACACAATGAAAGCAGGCTAAAATTATTCCATCTTTCCATAATAATCTTTGCATTTGATATAATGCCTTATCATGTTTTCGAGACATGTCAAAGCGCTTCACAGAAGTGCTCTAACCACTGAGCTACAGGACTGCAGAATGCATCAAATTATGGTGAATTTCACCCAGATGTTGGAGAGGAGGGAAACAAGATAGATGGGAATTTCGAAATGCATCTTTATAATAAAGCAAGACACTTTTAAGAGCACTTGGCACACAATTTTTAACAGTAAAACACTTCTTTAATTTGAAGCTAAAAAACCTGTTTTTAAAACAAAATCTTAAAATTATTGCCCTTCCCAGCATTGGAATTGTAGCTCGAGGCAGAAAACCTTTTATAACATTTACAAAGGCATTTTTGAGGTTTTCAGCTACAAGAAGGGATAATAATACATAATAATCCTTGGATTTGCTTTTGCGGCTTTCACATGTTGAGGACGTCTCAAAGCATCTCATTGGAATTACAGTGAATTGGAAGACTGTATATTGTGACTGTGTATTGTGTCTCCAACAATATTGTGACCTCCAACAATGATAACCCTCCCCCCAGTGGTGTGCTGGAGTGCCACCTTAGACAATGTGAGCTTGACTTTCAATACATAAGGATGCAACTAGATAGTGTTTGAAAGATGGAAGAATGTACTTTTGTCAAGAACATCTGAAACTGCTCCATAGGTAATTGCTGTCAAATGTAGACATTATCAACTTGTGACAAATGTGGCAGCCATTTTGCACAGCAAGGTTCCAATTCATGTTCAGGAAAGAAGCTAATTTCCTTTTTTGCAAAAGAAATAAGGTTTCTTCTTAACAAGTTTTAAAGATACCAAAAAATTCACGGTTTCCTTCAGTAAACAGTTATGCAATTTTCAGGCATTTTGTAGATCTGAGGAGATCCTATTCCTTTATTGTCTATTAATTCACCTCTCTGGGACAACATTGATTCCATAATCAAGATGGACAATTTTCTTGGTATAATTAGAGTTCATTGTCTGTCCTAATTACTTGATTAAAACACTTAGAATCCAAGTCTCTTTACTGAGACAATGCTATCTTGAAGCTGGCAACTTGTTCCGTTTCCTATAGGTGCATCACTTTCGATATGATACTGGTTCTGTAGCTTCCTCTAAAAACGTATCAGTAAAATATAAGCAAGTTGGCTTTCAAAGAAAGCTCGGTATAATCAATTGTTGACATAAAACATCAGCAAGCCATTGGAAAACAAACTGTGAAAGCTAAAACATTTTCAGCACGAGAACGAGAAACAAATCTCAACAACACATTACAATTTTATTGCACTTTTTACCTCGGGAGGATGTCCCAAGTCGCTGGACAATCCGGGATTTGGGATCAGGAGGCGTGTAGGGTATGGCTAAGTGGGTGACCGAATGCACGGTCGAAGAAGCGGGTATTGAGACATGCCTTGAAGGAGGCAAGGGAGGGGGGGAACCAGGGAGGTAGAAGTGAGTAGAGAGGCTGAAGGCCCGATTGCCAATGGTAGGGCAGGCAGGGCAGGGGACGTGGAGCAAGCTGGAGCCCACTGATTGGAGGGAGGGACAGGTGCGGTGTTCAACAGTTTTGAATCGCCCCCAAGAAATCTATTTTTCAAACTTTCTAGTACCTGCTGTTCTGCAATCAGGGAGGTTTTAAGGTTTTGGAGCTCTTCATTTCGCTTTTCAAGCTGTTCAAGTAAGCTGGCCTTCTCTTCTTCAAACTTCCCTGTAAGGTCAGCAATAAGACTTGATGGACTCCTACTGATTGGTGCAGCAGATAAAACTTCCCTATGTTAAAAGATTAAAAGTGTGTAGTTATAAATAAAATGCAAGAATTGAAATGGGGAGATAAAATTAAGAAAGAATATCAGTTTAGAAACAACAATTTGCATTTATAAAGAGCCTCAAATGTCAGGAGAACATCTTAAAATGCTTCACAAAACTGACTTGGAGCCCGAGCTAGGATGGCAGAGCATTGGAAAGAAAGGGAAAGATAGCCAAGATTGGTCTTAGAAAATAATTATCATTGGATTTCTGTTACCTATGTTGTTTATAATTTAATGAGCAATGTAGAATAACATGCAATCAATGGTCTTAATTAAAAGAAATTTAAACTCATTCTTCTCCTCTCACCCCAAAAAAAGATTAACTTAAGAAAAAAATGCTTTACGTCATTGGCCTTCAGAGTGTGAAGGCCACATTCTGATGATTTCACATAAAATGAAATCTCATGCATTAGTGAACAAAGCAAATAAATGAATTATAAGTGAAAAATTATTTCCAATCAACATCAACATGGAAAACAAAATGAGCAAGCCAAGAGGAAGGATGCAAAAGCAAATCATGATCGAGTCTGGCAGTTATTTTTAATAGTACTGTACAACAATCTTGAACTACTATTGCGTGAATGAAGATTTTGCACTACTATAGTGTGAATGCAGCAATTTCAAACACTACACTATGAATGCAGCAAAGCAATTTGGATTCTATTTAGAAACATTCCAAGAACATCACAAGTTTTACACTCTTTCATCTTATTAAACTTGCTCTTTAATGCTAGTTTAAAAAAAACTAACATTGGTCACTGGAGCTGTACACTTGCACTCAGTTATACATTCACGGTGCTCTTCTTAATTCCAACTAATGTGACTAAGGAAGAGAAACTGTATTCCCAGTGCTTTTCTGTTAGAAGATACATCACTTCACTTTCTGGCAACATAAACTGGGCATTAGCCCGGAATCCAGGAGCTAGGATCAACTGAAGGTTGAAAAGTCAACCAGGGCCACATTAACTTCAGTGACCCCAAAGAACAAAAAAGTAAGTTTCACCAGACAACAATGGCACAAAATATTTTTGGTAAAATTAAATATTTTAGGAAATACTAAGGACGATAAACCACGGCGTCCCCCACACATCAAAAGCCAAGGCAACCCTCTACACTAGTGCGTTATATCCAGTGAGATGAGAAAAANCAACTTCCTTTGCATAGCCTGTAACGTTCTCAAAAAAGACGTGCCACTATTACTTTTCTTGGTCAGATAATCAAATTAATTATATTTATATGAAAAGGATGATCTGAAAAAGGAGGTATATAAGGTGTTAAATAGGAGAAACCAAGCCCATAACAATACTGCCAGATACACGAAAAGCAGCTATTAAAAAGGGTGTCAATTCAAGGTTGCCAAGAGCAATTTCAGAATCGACACCAGGAAGCATTCCTTTACAACGAAGATAATTAACAACTGGAATGGGTTACCAGGAAGGGTGATCAAGGCTAGATGCTTGATTCATTTAAGAAACAGCTTGATGCTGTGATGTAAAGATGATAGGATAGATATTAAGTAATAAACTGGAAGGATGAGATTACATGGACCAACATGGATTTGATAAGTCAGAGGCAACACTATTACAGTAAACGCCTGATAATAATCCTTGCATTTGATATAGCGCTTTATCACGTTGTTGCAAGGTCTCAGAGTGCTTCACAGAATACACTGTAAAATAGATTTGACTGTATTTTGTGGGGGAAACACAGCAGCCAATTGTGCATCTGATATATCATCACTCTGAGGGAAAAACTGAGTAACTCGATATTCTGGGTGACTATATAGGTCTGAGTCCTATAGGTCAATAGGGGACACTGTGGTCGGGTAGTCCTACACCAACACACATCACCCATGTACAGAGTGACAAGACAGGATTTAAATTCTTATTTCCTTAGCAACAATACAACGAGAACTATATTTTCAAGAAACTAGTATTAAGCTTATTACTCAATAAGTGAAAAAAGACTGACATAAATTTGATGCACAAGACTTCACAAATCATGAACAATCTGTTCTTCTAGCAACGTTCTTTAAACATGCCAGAATCTTCACTAAAGTAAGACAAGTTAATTTGGGATATTCTACGATGACAGGATAAAGAATTGGAGAGGAAAGAGAATCACATGTACATTACTACACTGAAGATTAGTACACTTGGGAAATTGAAAACTGTATTTTACAATATTCATTTTGGATTTGTGCAAGATTAAAGCTTTAGAATTAATGGCTATGGGGAGATTGTCAAAAAAACATGCTATGGTTATCCTTATGAATAACCTTATGCTAGAATGGTTCAAAGGAAAAAAATTGTGCAATTCACAAACCAAAGCTGCTTTTTTGTACTAGATCTACTTATATTAAAAAATAAAATATTAATAGAAAGAAAACCTAACTTTTTAAAAATATATATATAACATATCAAACGCAGTCAGTCTTCATCTTCATTCAATCTTTTTTAAACAGTGAATGTTGTGCTAATCAAGCTGGGGGAAGTTGGAGAAGAATATCCTCTTATTTCAGCCAAGCACTAAAAGATCAGGTATAGCAGCCAAATAGAGTAAACCTCACGTTACTCTGCCTCGATCTCAAGAAAGTATCCCCCTGTGACACAACTATGACAATTTCCACTTCCAATGCCGTCCATCCATCCTGTGACTCACCCAAACGTTGTCAATTTCAACAACCTACTAAGGATTAGGTTGAGACAGCCCAAACTACTTCACATAGAATCATTACATTACACTGATTATAACAGAATCTTTGCATTTGATATAGCGTCTCATCACGTCTTTGAGACTTCTCAAAGAGCTTCACAGAATATACCGTAAAATGAATGGACTGTATATTTTGTGGGCAAAATGCAGAAGCCAATTGCGCACAGCAGTGTCCCACAAACAGTCGAGGATTGAGTGACTAAATTCTTATTACCTTTTTTTTTTGAAGGGTTTATGACCCCCAGAAAAGCGATCTGCCAATCGACTAACGACCGGATTCCTACTTAATGCTCGGTAAACAGAGGCTTGTGGAGTAAGGCAACTTGCCCAATATTTCACCCTGTCCGGGAATCGAATCCAGGTCCTCTTGCTTGCGAGGCGAGTGCTCTAACCACTAAGCGACAGGGGATAGAAAAATATTACATCTCATCGGTTTTAAGTATTCTATTGGTTTTACATACCTGTCAACACTACTTTGTTCTTCAAGGTGGCTTTCAAGTTGTTGAAATTTGGTTTGCAATTCTTCCTCATGAGATTTTTGTACACACTCCTCAGAGGTCGAATGCATAACAGTTCTAACAGTCTCTTTGTCTTGTTGCAAGGAGTGAAGTAGCTGCTCCTTGTCTTCCTGAAGACCACGAACAATAGTTTGGTATTTTGATTCTATTTCACAAAGAGCTCTCTCTTTCTCAGAAATCATTTCCTCCCTTTGTTTTTCTATTGTTTTCAAACGTTCTTCTAACGTATTGTTGAGCTCTCCAATTTGTTCTTTTAATCCTGCTTCCACATTAAGTGCTTGCTGCCTTATTGTATCCAGCTTAATCAGTTCTGCTCTAAGCAGGGTCATCTCTTCATCTTGCCTGTCCACCAACTCAGAGACACACTGATTTTTTTCTAAGGTCATTAAGGTCCTTTGTTCTGCAAGGCCCACCTTATATTCTTCAGTTTGTACCTGCTGCTGGCGTTTCAAACCATTGATCTCTTTAGTGTAACTCTCAACTTCTTTCATCACCTGGCACTTTATAGTTTCCTGTTGTTGGGATTGGTTTTCTTCGAAAAGTTGCCTTATTTCCTCAGTTTCAGCTTCTTTTAAAGCCATTTCAACTTCGAGTTTGCACCTAAGGTCAGAAAGCTCAGAGACTTTCATCTTAAGTTCATTAAGCTCTTGTTCCTTCTCGTGGACCTTTAACGTAAAGGACTCTTTTGTCTGCTCTAATTGTACTTCATTTTTTCTCAGCATTTGCTCTTCCTGACTGCGGTGATCAGCTGTCAGCTTCTCTATTTCTTGCTCGTACCTGGCCTGCAGGCTCTCTTCAAGATCCTTCAAGTGACTTTGTTCAAGATTCTGAAGTTCTGTTTTCAATTGCTCTGACTTCTGATCACTTTGTACCTTAAATTGGTTAAATTCTTCTAATAAATCTGCTTTGGATTGACCAAGTTCTTGGATTTGAGATTCCTGTGCTTTCTTTGCTTCTGCCAAGGAAAGCATTTCTTTATCTTTATCAGTTTGTAAACGCAAAAGTATTTCATGCTCAGCTTTCATCACATTGATCTCCTCATCTTTCTGTTTTATAGCATTTTCAAGCTCCATCAAATCTCTTCTGAGCTTTTCTACATTTTGCCGATTGGCCTCAGTCTCTGCTTTCCCTTTGTCTATTCTGTCATCATAATCTTTCCTTAAAGTTTCTAAAATGCGTTGATAGTTTTCTTTTGTTTCGGTTTCAACTCTACATTTTACAGTTTCTATTATGTGTCTTAATTCTTGAGTTACATTTTTCATGGAAGTATTAAAATCATACTGCTCTTCCTGAACAAGTGATCTGAAGTGGCTGAGGTCTTCCTTAATGCTTATAAAATGTGACTGTGACATTTCAGCAATAAATCTATATTTTTCTATATACACCTTTAGAGATGCAACTTCTTTAGAGTCCTCCTTTTCACCAACAGCTGTATCCTGCATACGCCTGTTATCTATAGCATTAATAACTGAGGAATACAATGATTCCACCATCATTTCAGGGCTTTGTGGATCACTGATCACATTGGGAGAAGCTAGATTTTCTTCAATCACAAATTCATTCACTGCTGACATAAAATCAGACTCTGGACTCTCTGCCAATGAGTCCATGTCAATGGATTCTTGTTTCAGAGCTTGTTCTAAATTTGGATGAGCAATTGTCTCAAAGTCAAACGTATGAGCGTCAATACTATCAGGGGACAGCTCTTCCAAAGAGGCAGGAACATTTGCAGGTGGACAGATGGGTCCCTGAAGGCTGAGAGTGGATGAAGCTCTGGAAGAGGTAGTCTTAGTTCCAGTTGTACTCTCTGACCTTTGCGTTGTTGCTCCTTTTAACTCTGCTTGATCAAGAGAAGCCTGCAGACACACCCAGTAATGATGGCAAATTAGAATAATTACAACTTTCATAATTAAAGTGAACAGAATTGTAAGAAAAATGCAAGCGCTCAATCAACTGCTTTCAAAACAACTATATTTTTTGAAGAGTCAACTTGTTTAGTTTTGAATATTTAATGGTTACTACTTATAATGTGAATATCTGTGCACTTAAACTGGAAATTTAAATATGGCAACTATCCAAATATGCTAATGGCCTATTTATTCAGGTGATCAAATATGAATGTTAATCTGGAAGATACTGAAGATTCAATAAACAACTTCTTTTTACACTTTAAAACTTAATTTTACAGTATAGCAAACCAACCTTGTGTTCATATCATTTAGCTTGTTTCTAAGAAATTAGTATATACCATATTTACTACATTAAATGTTCAAAGCCAATACGCATTTTGACTGCCTGAATGAACTATCTTACAAATGCAGTTTTTGATGACTTATTGAAAATGTCTTGCACCACATCCAAAATATAAATAACATATGGTTTAATTACTAGTTAAATGTGAAAGGTGCTATACAAGTGTAATTTGTTGTTGTCGTTAATACATTTGTTTTAACCATTGTCACAATTAAAATATCGTAATGGTTAGAAACTAGATCAAACATGATCTCTGAAAATAAATTGAAGCAATTTAAATGTAATTTTCAAAATATGTAATGATAGCCCTACAGAAATTGTATTGCATGACAAATACTGATTTTGAAATAAGACTCAAATGAAGCTTTGTTACTTTTTCACACATTTGTTCAGCAATGTTAAAAGTGTAACCAGTTGATATGACATTTGTAATACAGGATCGTACAATTTTTTGAAAACAATACATATTGAAATGTTCATCAAAATGATAACAAATGACAAAGAATCATTTTGGATACAAAATAGAGCTATAAACCACTTACCATACATGTGCAAGTGGGATTGGTAAAACCTATATAATTGTGTCATGCTTTGATAAACAAAGAAAAGGGCCAAACAATTTTTGTGAAAATGTTGCCGTTTTAAATTAAAAAATAAAATTATTGCACAAAAAGTGTGGTATTTAAGGTATTATGCAGTACAACACTGCTGAAATATTATCTTTAAATACTCTACAACAGCTGTCTCATCCATCCACCAGCTTTTGGTTTCTGTCTGACCATTTATCGAACCGTCCTCCTAACATGAAAGGTGCTATACAAATGTAATCTGTTGTTGGACCAAACTTTATGAACCAACCATTATATACGGTTCTCCTATCATCTATGAGTTTGGTATGCAAAGTAGGTCACTGAAAGTTTCTTCTTGCCCAGATATTTGAAGCAGTCAGGATTCTTGTATTTTCCAATGAGAACAGTTCTTTTCTTCTCTCCTATAGCTTTGCAGAAAAATTTCCTTCGAAGCTTCCCTTGCTTTTATCCCACATTTGGAATGCAGTGTCTTATTCAGGAGTGCACAAAATAACATTTCTTCCGTGCAAACCATAAAATCCATCAATAGCAATTTCCCCTTGCACTCACTTACTACATTCTCTGTGTCATTTGCAGTTTGCCAATCACAAAAATGTGACAAATGTTTCAATGTTTTTTGAAGGAATCCAACAGGAAACTTTGAATCGTAAGTTTTCTACCTCGAAGTAAATGTCAGCACCTTTCCACATTAATGGTCCTGACCGTGAAATGTTTTTAGATACAAGAACCTGAAATTATTTTCAGACCAATTCATTAACATCCCCAATGTCTGCAAAATTCTTCCTTAAACTTTAAGATTATCTGATGTATTTTGCATTGGCTGAATTTAAATTGTTCCAATTGCTTGAGACTTCCTATTCTTGCAAAGGTGAGCTTTTTGACACCAATATGATCTGCAATGATTAACTCTATCCCTGTCTTCTTGGCTGGTGACTCTTTTTCTCCAGCCAACGAAACTCATTTTGCACCCTATTCATATACCTTCCTCTCCCCCACCATGTAAGCATGTGAAGCAGCTGCACTCTGCAAACAGAAGTACACAACAAACACTTACCCAATCTAACTGATCAATTGTGTACCTTACAACAACAAAATTACATTTGTATAATAGCGCCTTTCACATCAGGAGGACATTCCAAGGCGCTGGACAGACAAGAGTTACGGACCCAAGCTGGGGATCGGGGTGGGGTAGGGTGGAGGGCAGGGGGGGAAGCAGGGAGATCGAAAGCACGATTGAAGAGGAGGGTCTTGAGGTGGGTTTTGAAGGTGGCGAGGGAGGGAATGAAGCAAAGGGACTGCAGGATGAAGTTCCAGAAGGTGGGTGTGGAGTGGCGGAAGGCACACCCACCGATAGTGGGGCGAGCGAGGCAGGGGATGTGAAGCAGGCTGGAGCCCGCTGAGGGGAGGGAGCGAACAGGGTGGTAGGGGGTTAGGAGGTCGGAGAGGCGGTGGGGTGGGGGGGGGAAGAGGAGCAAGACCATGGGTGGCTTTGAAGGTGAGGACCAGGATCTTGAACTGTATCCTCTGTGTGATGGGAAGCCAATGGATTTGGGCAAGGATGGGGTTGATAGGGTCGTGGAGCCTAGTGTAGGAGAGGACATGGGCTGCAGAGTTCTGGATGATCTGCAGCCTGTGGAGGGAGGAGTTGGGGAGGCCGACAAGCAGTGAGTTTGCATAGTCGAGCCTCGATGTAATGAATGCGTGTATAAGGGTTTCGGCGGCCTGCGGTGTGAAACAGTGTCAGAGTTGGGCGACGTTGCGGAGGTGGGGGAAAGCAGAGCAGGTCATGGCACAGATGTGGGGTAGAAAGGATATTTGAGGCTCAAACAAGACCCCAAAGTTCCAGACTGGCTTAGCAAGGTGGAGTGTGCAACCATGGATGATGATACTGTCAGACGATGCTGAGGAGGCGCTGACAGGAGCCAATCAGGAGAGCCTCGGTCTTGTTGACATTCAACTGAAGAAAGTTAGCTCTTATCCAGGACTTGATATCTGATAGACATTCTGTCAGGACAGCAGTGATCCCAGAGTCAAGGGTGGAGGCAGAGAGGTACAGTTGGGTGTCATTCGAATATATGCGGAAGTTGAACCCATGTCTGTGGATGATGTCACCAAGAGGGAGCATATAGATGTTGAAGAGGGGACCAAGGACAGAGCCCTGAGAAACGCCGCATGAGACGGTCCTGGGGCTAGAGGAGAAGTTGTTTGAGATGAAGTGAAGGCGTGTGAGAGGTACGATCTGAACCAATCAAGGACAGCGCCGTGGAGGTTGAGGTGAGGAGAGGTGGTGGATGAGGATAGAACGGTCGACGGTGTCGAAAGCATCAGAGAGGTCAAGGAGGACGAAGAGGCAGAGGAAGCCCTGGCCGCAGATGAACAGAATGTCATTTGTCACTTTGACCAGGGCGGTTTTTGTGCTGTGGGCAGCACGGAAGCCCAATTGGAGGGGTTCGAGAAGGGAGTGGCGGAAGAGGAAGGAGTGAAGCTGAGAAGCAACAACTCATTCCAGGACCTTGGAAAGGAAAGGGAGGTTGGAGATGGGTTGGTAGTTAGGGGGTAGAGAAGGGTCCAGGGAGGGTTTTTTTAATTAAAGGACAGGAGTGATGACAGCGGTTTTATAGAACAAGCTTCTATCACCACTGATCATTTTATATGGGTAAAACAGAACATGTACACTGATACAATTTTCAAAGAAAAGGAAACCTTTGCTTTACAAAAGGGGGAATTATTTCAAAATAATGCAAATAGGCCTTTTTAATCCAGCAATAGGAATCAACAAAGGTAGCTTTGTGTGTGCGTCCGTGCATATGAGTGTGTGTGCATGCCTGCAGCATGTTGGGTGGGGGGCATATTCCTTACATTCATTTGATGGTCATTCCATGGCTGTTTGTGGGACGTTGCTGTACAAAACTGCCATGTTCACCTACAAATACAGTCAGTTCACAGCAAAATCGAAATGTCTTGACAACTTGATAAGATACTATATCAAAGGGCAAGCATTGATATTATTATTATGTAGGTAAGGATGAAAAAAATGTGTGCTAGTCACAGGCTGCAACAAAATGGCAGGATTAGCTGGGCATGTAGAGCATGCAAGAGTTCATTCAGTACTAAATGTTTTGACCACAATGGATAGAACAGATTCCACTTTATATGCAAGGTTAAGCCACACTGAAAAGTACTCACGTTCACATTTAGGAACATAAGTCATTCAGACTTGAATATTCGGTTCAAGCATTCACATAAAAGTTAATTTGAAAATAAAAAAAACTTTGCAGATTGAAAATGTTCAGCTACTACTTCGGTAGTATACCTATTCCGATTAGATAAAGAATTTCTGCATTGGTTGAGGACCATCTAAATTAGTTTTGTTTCTCAATGTGTTCTTACCTTTTGCTCAGTCAACAAGTCTGTAATAGTCTGAGACATCTCATCCAAACTCTGAGCTGCTTTTACCAGGTTACGAAGAACTTGAATATGCTGATTCAAAGGCTCAAAGTCACACAGCGTAGGAACCCTTACAGAAAAATAAACCAGAAAGATGATATATTACTCAGCTTTACAACAAAGCAGCCCTCAGTTATCCTCCACATACCATGGCTAAGGATAGAATAAAAAGGAAAAAAACCAAAACAAAAAGAATTTCAGCCAAATCTTTATATTATGTCCTCCTTTCAACCTTTTCATTTAAGGATAGTACAACAAACAAAAAATTGTATTCAAATAAAAGCTTTATTCACATTTGCAACAGCATTCTTCCCACTCAGCCAATGCCTCACCTTCAACAAGCACAGCTTTTCATTGACTTAAAATGAAACGCCAATCAGACTTACAAACTCTGGCAGGAATCTTCATTTTGGGACTGTCTTAAAACATTAAGTAACTTCTTTCCTACTCTCTTGGTGATGACATAAAAATGGAAGCAACTTCAGTACTAAAGGTTGTTTATAAAGAAATCTTGCTCAGAGTACTTATCAGTGCCTGAAGAGCCAGAAAGGCAGTGAGCACTTAAGTGCTGTCAAATCATCTCTGTGTTGTGCTACTGGCGTGTAAAATGAAAAATAGCAAATACTATCAAGAGAACAATCCTAACCAAAACATGAATTTTTGGTTGATGGGGGATAAAATCTGTTGTCCTGGAGATTTTCACATTATCCAGTGCCTTGGGATGTCCTCTCGACGTGAAAGATGCTACACAAATGTAACTGGTTGTTGTTGATGTAATTTGAATACAGTGCCTGTATCACATGCACACACCATTCAGGTGTGCAGGTTACCTGAGGAAAGGCTGCACTTCTGGAGGACAGCAAGTCTGCAGAAACTGCAGGTCAGACAAAGATATGTCAGGAAGCTCAAAATCAAACTTCCGAGGCTTGCGGGTCTAAAAAAAAGAGCAAAAAAATTAACACGTTGCAAAACACATATATTAAATATAAACATATATTATCAGTATGAGTCAATAGGTTGCTATTTGTGCAATTTAGTGGGATGAGCTGGAATCAATTCCCAACTGCATTTCGGCCTCAAGTTATTGTTCTGATCATGGTGTATTTTAAAAACTGATTTTCTACCAAGTCAAATATATTGTCATGGTAAATATTTTAAAATGAGCAGTTTTGGGAGAGCACAGCAGTAGAAGGTAGAGACCTTCATCTGTCAGTTAGTGATAAGAGTACATGCCAGCAGTGAATATTTATATTCCAATCATTTTTGATTTTTTTAAAAAAAAATCAGGATTTGTTTAAACTGGCACGATGACAGATTGAAACATATAATAATAATAATCCTTGCATTTGATATAGCGCTTTTCACGTCGGGAGGACGTCCCAAAGCGCTTCACAGAACACACTGTAAAGTGAATTGACTGTATATTTGTGGGCGAACGCGGCAGCCAATTGCGCACAGCAATGTCCCACAGTCGTAGATTGAAAATGATCAATTTATTATTGTTTTTGGTTTTGGAGGGATTATTTGATGTCTCTGTGGTTACCAGAGTACAATGCCTAACTTGACCCACTAAGAAGGATTTTCAGGACGTTGGCCAAACGTCTGGAAAGATGCAAAAGCCACATCACTTAAAGCAGGAGAGGTACTATACACTCTATATTTAAAAAAACATATCAGTCTAAAAGTACAACTTAGTATTTAATTGTTAAAGCCATTATTTATACTCATGAGCAACATTTACCCATATGCACTCCATAAACAAGTTATGTTCAATTCTACCTAATTATTAGATTAATTCCATATTCAATAGTTTTAATATTTATTCATTTAAATATGGTGCAGTACCATTATAACACACTTATGATCAGGACACAGACAGACTGGTAAAATGGGCGGACACGTGGCAGATGAAGTTTAATGTGGAGAAATGCAAAGTGATGCATTTTGGGAGGAAGAATGAGGAGAGGCAATGTAAGCTGATGGCACAATCTTAAAGGGGGTGAAGGAACAGAGAGATCTGGGGGTTCATATAAGTAAATCTTTGAAGGTGGCAGGACAGGTAAATAAAGCTGTTAATAAAGCATATGGGATACTGGGCTTTACAAATAGGGACATAGAATATAAAAGTCAGAAAGTCGTGATGAACCTTCACAAAACATTGGTTCGGCCTCAGCTAGAGTACTGTGTTCAGTTCTGGGCACAAAACTTTAAGAAGGATGTCCAGGCATTGGAGAGGGTGCAAAGGAGATTTACCAGGATGGTACCAGGAATGAGGGGCTTCAGTTATCAGGAGAGCTAGAGAAACTAGGATCAATCTCCTTGGAGCAGAGAAGGTTAAAAGGAGACTTAATAGAAGTTTTCAAAATTATGAGGGGGATTCGATGGAGTGAAAAAGGAGAAACTATTTCCATTGCAGGTGGGTCAGTAACCTGAGGACACAGATTTAAAATAGTTGTTAAAAGAAACAAAGGGGAAGTGAGAAGAAATGTTTTCATACACCGCGTTGTTCAGATCTGGAATGCATTGCCTGAAAGGGTGATGAAAGCAAATTCGATAACTGCTTTTAAGAGTAGATAATTATTTGGGGAAGACAAGTTTACAGGGCTATGGGGAGAGAGCGGGGGAGTGAGATTGATTTGGATAGCTCTTTTAAAAGAGCCGGAACAGGCACGATGGACTGAATGGCCTCCTTCTGTGCTGTATAATTCTATGATTCTATGACTTCTATATAGCATGAATTTGAATGCAATCTGATTACATGGTGGACCACTTTTGCTGCATGGGTCCACACCAGGCTTCTATCTAGTAGTTTAGGCACTAAACGAGAGAGGTCTGGGTCATTAGGTCGTCAATGACGTCTCTACCAGCTTATCTGCATATATATGCAGATACCTCCCTGTAATGTTTTGTGTATATATATATATATATATATATATATATAAAGCAGGAAGTGACAGAGGCAGCAATCTAATGATCTGGAAATCTAATACTAATACTAATCCTAATACTAATCCTTGCATTTGATATAGCGCTTTTCACGTCGGGAGGACGTCCCAAAGCGCTTCACAGAACACACTATAAAGTGAATCGACTATATATTTGTGGGCGAGCGCGGCAGCCAATTGCGCACAGCAATGTCCCACAAACAGTCATGGATTGAAAATGACCTTTTTATTATTGTTTTTGGAGGGATTATTATCAGGCGTGTGGAGTAAGGAAACTTGCCCAAGGTTTCGCCCTGCCCTGGAATCGAACTCAGGTCTCTCGCTTGCAAAGCGAGTGCTCTAACCACTGAGCCACAGGACTCCACTATTTTAGCTTCCTGCTCTAAAATACATTTGACTTCCAGGTGATCAGGTTGCAGACAAAGTAACTTTCTTCTTTGCACATGCTCAGCAACAGGAATTGATATCGGTGGTGAACTGGAAGCCAGCCATTTTTTTAAAAAAACTCAAGGAACCCACCAGCTTACAGCTTGGATTTTATAATGAGGCTCCACTGTACATAAGGATGGACATTTTAGCAAATGAAGGAAACAGTTTTAAAGGCTCAATGGCAGACAAGAAGAGTTCAAATGTTCAGACAAAAGTTCATCGACCTGAAACGTTAACTCACTTTCCTCTCTCCATAGATGCTGCCTGACCTGCTGAGTCCTCCCAGTGACTTTGGATTTTATTTAAAATGTATTAAGTTTTTTTCCAATAATCAGAGCTGTAGTTTGCAAATGAAAACCTTGTGGAACATAAGGTTTAATTATGTGCTAATATGGAATATTTCAATATTCTAACATCTTAAACACGTGGTATTCTGATTTTTCTGAAAGAAAAAATCATTTACATACACAAAACGATGATGCTGGCCAAGAGTCTAGTCCCTTAAATAAGCGATTCCTTAGAAAAGACCTTCCTGTGGGAAAAAAAATAAGCATACCTCTGTAGATTTGACATTCTTTGAAGGTGAAAATACTTTGTATAATTTAACAAATTGAACTACTAGAATTTATACTCATAATAAATATTAAACTTATTATAAGATAAGCAATGTCTTTAACAATCCTTCCAAGGGTGTTGATAAGATATACAGAAAATATGCAAAAACATCCTTGAATACTACATTTTACAAAATACTCGGCAACCAAAAGTTGAGTTCATTAAATCATTGTATATGCAGACTTCATAAGTATTTCTGACTTCTACCTTTATGTAATAGGAAATAATATTAAAGAAGGGATTACAGATGCAAAATCTGAAAAATGAGATAAATCATGATAACATCACTGAAGAAGCTGGTTACCAAATCCATAACACTTTTTTTTTAAAATCAAGCCTCTGAAAAGAAGCTAGGAAAGAGGGAAAACAAATAACATAACTTACTGAACAATTTTCCAAAAGACTCCCTTTTCGTTCTCTCAGCCTCATAGAGTTGTTTCCCTTCTTTCACAAGAGCACTGGCCCACTGTGTAAAAAGATTATATCATCGATTGCTCATAAACATATATTGGATTCTTAACGATACATCGCACGGAGATTAAAAGATGCTGGTTAACTTACCTCCCTGTAATGTTTTGTGAACATTTTACGCCTCACAACCTCCACAACTGCTAGGCAATACATCTGAGGAACAGTGCTAAGTGCCTCTACAACCCGTACTCGCTCTTGCAGTTCAGTCAAAAGTCGTAGCAAAGCTTGTAGTTTTTCACCATTCTGGTCTGCATGAAGCATCACATAACAACACCACCTAGCAAAGAAATTAAAATATTGAGCACCAATTGCCTTGTAATCATGAAGCATAAGAGTCTAGAATGTAAAGCATTTGGAAAATAATCACTTAACGGAAAGAAAACAGACTGACTAAAATACTGTTTCTTTTGACCCCAAAGAAAATGACAATTTGCAAACATTTATTTTACGATTTGAAGTAAATAAAGTACTCATCTCTAGGTATAGTGATCAATTTGCATATATACTTCACATATCAGAAGTAAAGGGTCCGACGGAGTTGGAATAATCATTGAAGCATCTAGGTCTTTAACAAGAATCACATACAATAATAATAATACCTCCATGAACCTAACAATAGAGCCATCCTTTTCATCCCATCTCCCATGACAACTTTATTTTCAGTTAAACACAATAATAACAACAATCTTGCATTTGATTTAGTGCCTTATCATGTCTTCGAGACATCTCAAAGCACTTCAGAGTATACTGTAAAGTGAATTGACTGTATTTTGCAGGCGAAACACAGCCACCAATTGCGCACAGCAGCGTCCCACAAACAACAGTGGATTGAGTGACCAATTTAATATTCATTTATTTATTTTGGAAGGATTATTACCACTGGAAAGCGATCGCCAATCAACTAACAACCGGGTTCCTACTTACCGCTAGGTAAACAAGAGACATCTGGAGTAAGGAATTTTGGCCAAGGTTTCGCCCCATCCAGGAATTAAACCTAGATCCTCTCGCTTGCGAAGTGTGTGCTCTAACCACTACGCTATTTGTTTCTGATATAAAATTAATCCTTGCATTTGATATCAGGAGAACATCTCAAAGCACTTTACAGAAATTTCCCATTCTGTCAACAAGGCCCACAAAATATAGTCAAATTTACTTTACAGTATATTTTGTGAAGTGCTTTGAGACGTCTCAAAGCAAGGATTATTAATTTTTGATCCAATATTTTTTCTATAGTAACTGAGTAAAAATAACTTCCAATAGATTTGTGCATTGAAATCAGCACCATAACTTAAATAGTGAGTGAAATTTGACTTAAAAGAAAACTCCAAAACAGCAAACATGGTCCAAAATGAATTTCCTATTGGACAAAATACCATGAGAATTCTGAACAAATTAGTTTTAGTTCCATGAACTTCGCACTTCATAATAGGTCTCAGCCAAATCTTGGCTCCACTTCATACGCGATAAGACCAAGGACTTCTAACAAAAAAAAAATCCCTCTGGCACAGCTGAAGCTTTGTAAAGATTTTACAACATTTTAAAGAACCTCTCAAAGTCTTCATCCCCAGAGTCTCACAGCGCCTAGCAATAAACTTGTCGTCAAGTATTTGCTTTTATAAGGCAGGCATTTTTTTTGTGAAACATTCTCAGGTTTATTTATGCACCACATTAACTGATTGTAACAAACTAGTTTGAAAAGAACATATTTAAGTATTGTCCTAAAGCATCATGAAAAGTTTCATGCCATTTTCAAGTTTCATTTCAGATTACAGAAAAATCAAACTAGTATATTAAACAAACATAAAAAAGTGAACAAAGTATACATTATATAGGATATAGGCTATATTATATAGGAAATGAAATCAGCAACTTCTAATGAAAGCTGATGCCTATAGACAAAATAATTGTTATTGAATATGGTTACACTCCACATGCAAGATATGCTACTACACGTACTCCGGCTGCCACTAACTAGGCCAATCCACAAATGAAGTTAAACATTTGCACTCTTTCACATATTGTCACACCTAGATCATAGCAATACAGTATAATAATAATAATAATCCTTGCATTTATTATAGCGCTTTTCACGTCGGGAGGACATCCCAAAGCGCTTCACAGAACACACTGTAAAGTGAATTGACTGTATATTTGTGGGCAAACGCGGCAGCCAATTGCGCACTGCAATGTCCCACAAACAGTCTAGATTGAAAATGACCAATTTTTATTATTTTTTTTGGTTTTTGGAGGGATTATTATTAGGCGTGTGGAGTAAGGAAACTTGCCCAAGGTTTCGCCCTGCCTGGAATTGAACTCAGGTCTCTCGCTTGCAAAGCGAGTGCTCTAACCACTGAGCCACAGGACTCCACACATTATACGAGTAATTTGAGACACATGGCAAGTGTAGGAAGCTTAGTATACTTGGGAAAAATAGGCAAATTAAAAAGCTAAGGCTCCCAAAGCTTTTCACCACTGGCAGGTTTCCCTGAACAACAAAATTATATATGTAAAACGCCTTTCACCCCGGGAGGATGGAATGGAGTTCCAAAGGGTGGGGGCAGAGTGGCAGAAGGCCTGCCTGCCAATAGTGGAGCGAGCGAGGCGGGGGACATGAAGCAGACCGGAGCCCGCTGAGCAGAGAGAGCGAACAGGGTGGTGGGGGGTTAGGAGGTCAGAGAAGTAGGGGGGAGCCACACTGTGGAGGGCTTTGAAGGTGAGGACAGGATCTTGAACTGTATCCTCAGTGTGATGGGAAGCCAGTGGAGTCGGGTGAGGATGGGGGTGATAGGGTCGCGGAGACTAGTGCGGGAGAGGACACTCCGACAAGCAAGGAGTTTGCATAGTCGAGCCTCAATGTAATGAAAGCATGTATGAGGGTTTCGGTGGACTGTGGTGTGAGACAGTGTCAGAGTCGGGCGACGTTGCTGAGGTAGGGAAGGCAGAGTAGGTCATGGCGCAGATGTGGGGTAGAAAGAATAGCTGAGGGTCAAACAAGACCTCCAGGTTCCAGATTGGCTTAGTAAGGTGGAGTGCGCAACCATGGATGGTGATACTGTCAGCGTCTGAAGTGAGGAGGCACTGATGGGAGCCAATCAGGAGAGTTTGATGTCTGCCAGACATTCTGTCAGTAGCCCAATAGAAGGAAAAATTGGATAAAGGGTCCCAAATAAATCTTTTCAGTTTACACTCATTTTCGTACAAAAAAACAGCAACGGGTTTAGATGCAAAGAAAGTGTATCTACCATTGGTTAAGATCACACATTATATTCAGGCTTGTCCCAGGTATGTGAGGAATTTCAGTGCAGGATTTAATATAGAACCACTCATAGTGCCACCAACTGACCAAATGTTGCTTTGCACGATTGTTAACAGAATTTAGCTAGATTCAATTCCATTTTTGAAAGAACCTTTAAATATTTAATATTATTGGCACTAAGTTCCAGTTTTATCCCAGAGTTGTTGAACATTTATTTGCAGTAAGCAAATTCACAGGGCCCAGTGTAAATAGGCAAACCTTTCTGTCCTGAATGGCAAATACTGCAATTTATTTTACATCCATGTACCAGTAAACAATTCAGCATGTACATTTTACCAGACAAGTTTAAATCAATGCACAATGTATTGCAATGCACCATCCAAAAAGTTCAAATCAGCTACAAATCCATTGTTCTGTGAGATGTTCTCGATCAAACCACACCAAACTATACTGCTCAAGAGGAGTTCTTGACATCAGCCATTCATTGGGCATGGGCTCAATCCTAGACCTGTCACTTAACTGATGAACAGCAAGCAACAACATGTCAGGGTGGGAGGAAGACAAGCTAAGTGGTATCTCTTGGAGGTTGAACTGTGATACACTTGGTGAAACAAAGTAAAGACAAGTCTATAATTTACATAGATTGGATTTTTTTAATACCTGAGCCAAGCAGGTTTGTACTGTAAGTGCCTTGTAGTGATAACTTACATGGCTTTAGCTGGATCAATTCCAGCAGTACCCAAATACGCACCTGGGGCCCAAATGCCTTGGCTTTGTCAACAACTCATATCAATGTTTGAGGCACAGGCAAGCAGGCTCTGTCCACATCCAGGAGAGAGCTTGGGCACTCCAGAACTGTCAAGGAGAAACTCTGTTTCTGTGACTTCTCAGCAGCTCAAGTGAAGACTTATGCATGGCAGGGGAATCTGCTCGTCAGACTTCCTTGACAAAAATAAAAGTAAAAATACCTTTGGAAAATGATTCCTATGGTATAGAGAAAATATTAAGCTCCAGCACCGAAAAAAGTTATTCATTCTTGAAGACAGGCTAAAAGGAAAACAATTATCAGGACTCCATTTAGGAAACTGATGATTATAGCATCGGAGGAGTGAAAAACCTAATACTTCTATAAATAGAACTTCGCTGTTCTTTCTATACTGTAATTAAATCAATTATATTTTTCTCCTAAAACAAGAATAATCTATTTTTAAAATACTAAATTGGTAGTAGAGCCAAACAGGAGGCAGAGCAAATGTGAATGCAATCAGAAGGATTTGGATCTTTTAGACAGCCAGTCTGGCAAGGCTTAATATGAGTAAGGGAAGGGGGAAAAAAAGGAAAAACAAGCAGGAACATATGCTAAGTTGAATAGACATACACAGCATTCTAATCAGAAAAAAATATCATTATAGATTATAAAAAATCAATGTATATTCTCAGTCCAATGGTTTGCTGCAGTAAAAAAAACAAATAAGGTACTGAGTTGTCATGGCAGAGAACTAAGAGACCAAACAAAAATGTTTCATTCTTGCTGCACAACATATTGAACAGACAAACCCAGGAATATTGTAGATATCCTAATTTCAGGATGATTAAATTAGGAGTCCTGATTTGGAGTCCTGTAGCTCAGTAGACCTGGGTTCTATTCCCAGCAGGGGGAAATGTTGGGCAAGTTTTGTTACTCCCCAGCCTGTTTACCTAGCAGTTAGTAGGAACCCAGTTATTAGTCGATTGGAGGATCACTTTTCCAGAATTAATAATCCCTCAAAAACAATAATAATTTGGTCACTCAATCCACCACCTGCTTGTCGGACGCTGCTGTGAACAATTGGCTTCTGTGTTTCGCTCACAAATAGTCAATTCACTTTACCGTATATTCTGTGAAGTTCTTTGAGATGTCCAGAAGACATGAAAAACATATCAAGTGCAAGGATTATTAATATTAATTTTAACCTTCAAAGGCTACACAGACAAATCAAGATTTTAGTTATTAGAATGGAGGATACAAGAAAGGGGTAAGGAAGTTAGGTGCGCTCCCTTTGAAAAACCTGAGAGATTTTCAAGAATATTAAGTTGACCATGAGGTTGCTCTTTGCAAAATGTGGACTGATGAGGTGGATCTGAGCAAAACATCGAATATTCTGACCTATTTCAAGCAAGTTAACAAAGGAATTCAGGAGTAAGGAGAAAAGTCAAGTTGAACATTTTTACATAGGGCAAAAGATACAAGTACTAAGTTGCCAAGAAGGTATTGAAGCAGAATGCATAAATAGGTTTAAGAATAGTGTTTCTGAAAGAATGAATTAAGAACTAATCAAAAAGGAAAACTTGGGACTCTAAAATGTCTTATTTTTATGAAATATAATCCAACTTACTTCAATCTGACTTGCAAGTTGTTTGCAAGTTCCTGCTTAGCGGTGGTACATTTCTGCTTAATATCCACCAGCTTCTTGTGGTTTGTTAACATAATCATTAGCTGATTTGCATGACTCAGACATAAATCAGGAAGGACAGATGGATCTTTCAGATTTTCAGCTCTCTTCTGATTTGCTAAAAATCCCTGTGGGTTTAAAATAAGATGTTAAAATATACAAAATAAGTTACTTTTGAGAAAACTACAGAACGACCTTAACTTTTTTTCAAAAAAAAGTGAATGTACAATAGAGACTGGGTAGGCAAGCATTCAAAATGGGAGCGATGCACAGCTGAAAAGTAGTGAGGCACATTTTGATCTATTGAAGTCACAAGGTGAGGGTTTCATTTTGTACAAACCGTCAATTATGGGATGTGTATTTTATTTGTAAAACATTTATTTTGTGATGTTCATTCAGTTTACTACAAAATATTTGGTGACTAAGTTCACATGAATTTACCTGGATGAATTACTAATTAGCTGTAAAGAGACAATTTGGTGAAGATATTATGTGATGTGAATTTTAAAAATCACATTTACACCGAATAAACTTTTGTAAATAATACTTGCATTTGATATAGCACTTTTCACGTCTTTTAGACGTCTCAAAGGGCTTCAAATAAGATGTTAAAATATGCAAAATACCAAAATAAGAAGTTACTTTTGAGAAACACTGCCTTAAACTTTTTTTTAAAAAAGTCAATGTACAATAGTGAATTATGATAAAATATTCATATCACAGTTTAATTTAAGTTGTACTAGACATTTAAAACACTGACATGTCACATAAATACACATGCCAAATCTAATTTTACAAAGCTTTCTTCCATAATCTCAATAGGAATTATTATGAACAATTAACATTTAACCAAACTATTTACTACACAAAAAAATTACACTAGGTTTACAGAATGGAAAACAGCATGGAATGGATAAGAAGCTACCGTTTAAAATGCCCACTTGTACAAAAAGGTAATTCGTTACTGGGTTCACAAAATTTTGATATGAAACAGATAAATCTGGATTTCAGTAAGACCTTTGATACAGTTCCTTTTAAGATGGTGGTGCTAGAAGTAAAAAAAGCGGGAATCAGTGGAGGTACATTACAATGGATACACAATTGGTTGATAGGAAGAACCCAGAGGGAATGTCATCAGACTGGGCAAATGTTACCAGTGGAGTTCCAAAAGGGTCTGTTTTACAGTTCTGATGACGAAGTACAAAAAGGATATTAGAGAAATCGAGAAGGTACAGAGGAGGGCAACCAAAATGATTGAGAGAATGGAAGGATTGGACTATGAGGAGTGACGAAGTAAACTGGGCATGTTCACACTGGAAAGGAAAAGATTGAGAGGCGACATGATTGCTGTCTTTAAAATTCTAAAGGGGCCAGACAATCAGAAGGGGCCGTACATCATAATGTTTCAACTTATCCAGAATAGTAAAACCAGAGGATACAGCCTACGATTGAAGTGGGGTAAATTCAGAATGAATCTACGCAAATACTATTTCAGTGAGCGAATAGTGAACTTGTGGAACAGGATCCCCAGGGAGACGGTTGAAGCAGGAAGTGTTGATTCTTTCAAACACAGAATAGACTGTTTTCTTTTAGAAAATAACATTATGGGATATAGTACATAGATCGTTTGGGACATATCTGCATGCAACTGTCAGGAAGGTGGAAGGCGAACGAGATGGACCTTGGTCTTTTGTCGTCTGGCATTTCTTATGTTCTTATATAAAAAGTCACTACAATCCAAACTTGCTGGGAAAAGGACTCATACACACACGAGATATAACATGCAACACACTTAGCAGTAAAACAGCAAAACCTAATGGTGCACATTTTCACAACTTACCTTTTTACTTTGTATTATAAAGTCAGCAATGCCATCTACTGGTAGTAGTTGCACTTTAATACTGGTTTTAAAAAGGTAAGATCTGTAGCACTGAGTTAACTGAATGCTTATATGATACGCAACTGTTTTTTTGTGGTAGAATCATTTTATACAACATTACAACAAGTTCTGTGACAACTTCAAATTGCAACAAGTATACTTTGGATCAATATGGACAGATCCTTAATGTTATAGCAGTTCTATATACTGGCCTAATAATCAAGTTCTTCACAGCAGTTTTATAAATAGAACCATTTACTGCCTCAAATAAATTCCCTGAGGGATAAAAACTCAGTATATTTTGTTCTGAAAAATGATTACAGTTGTCAATCTGTGAACCATTAGCAGATGTCTAGACATTGAAAGGATAACCACAGGCACTAAACATCACATTTGTGACATGTGTGGCACAGAACGCCTCGATTTTAATGCCTCGATTATCTTTCTTTAATTAAATGGAACAAATTTTCCATAACTTCTTGAACTTTCATGAAGTGTAGCTTACCACATCTATACTCAATACTTTAAAGCAATTTCCTAATAAAAGCTATGTTACTAAAGTTGAATTACATCTCGACTTCTAGCAAACCCATTCTACCAAGTATTGTCCAAGGGAGGGACTTATTCCTGTGTCACCTGAGCTAATTCTTTTTGTTCGTTTACCAGCCTATTGCAACTGGCTATCATCTGATCCAGAGCGTACAGTCGATCTTCAAGTCCCTTAATTGCTTTCATGTTCTGATTATCAAGTTTGGCAATTGTTTCGTGACACTCCAATAGAAATGGCTGAAGAATTCCTGGATCGAGCTGAAAATACAGTGGAGGGAAAGAAGTGTCAAACCGTTTGTTGTAGAATGTCAAATTGAAATGTTTGATGCTGATGCTTAAATTGTAAACGTGTTATACTTCCCTCTTAATATAAATGAAAAATAGAAACATTGAAATTTACAGGTGGAGGCCACTCAGCTTATCAAGCCTGCTGCACCAGGTCAGAGCAAGGATATTGCTTCAATCCCACCACCCGCTTTATTGCCACACCGCTTCAAACCCCTCCCTTTCAAATGCCTATCTACTTCCCTCCTGAAAGCTACAATGGAATCCACCTTCATCATCCTTCTTGGCAGGCCGGTCGGTCCACATGCCAACGTATCTTGGATGTGGTTAAGACTCAAATACTGTGCTGGGGATACAGGGGTATCCAGCACAGTATTTGGGTAGTGTTAACTACATCCAAGACAATGGGTTTAAAGTCCTGACACGAGCCTTAAACTCACAACCTTCTAATTCTGAGATGAGAGTGCTACCAACTGAAGCAGGCTGGCATCTTAAAAAACAGAGGTCAACAGGATTGCTATTTAAATGTCTCATCCAAATGACTGCACGTTCAACAATACAGTACCGTCTCACTACTATATTACAGTGTCAGCCTAGATTATGATTAGAAATCTTAGTTTGGGGCTCAAATCCTCAACCTTCTAACTCAGAGGCAATTTTGTTATCAAATGAGCCAAACTCGCTTTTGAAAAACAAATTAGACACGCATATTCATAACCTAATGGTTAAAAAAAGCTTAGCCGACTTTTCTATACACAAAAATGTTTTTAACTTGTTTCCTTATTCAGCATATATTAGCTAGTATTATTTGCAGACTTCACATTGGTATGACAAATAGATCTAGCCATTCTATACATAGTTAATTTTGGTGGTTTTAGAGTAACAGACTCATCAAAATTAGGGGAATAAAAATAATCCTTGCATTTGATATAGTACTTTTCACATCTTTTAGACGTCTCAAAGCACTTCACAGAATAGACTGTAAAGTGAATTGACCGTATATTTGTGGGTGAAATGCAGCAGCCAATTCCACACAGCAGTGTCCCACAAACAGTCGTGGATTGAAAAGGACCAATTTATTATTGTTTTGTTTGGAGGGATTATTATTAGGCGTGTGGAGTAAGGAAATTTGCCCAAGGTTTTATCCTGTCTGGAATTGAACCCAGGTCTCTAGCTTGCAAGGCGAGTGCTCCAACCAGAGCTACAGGATTCCACGGGAAGGGGAGCTCTATCCTAAGATTATATCATTGAGTAGCTAGCCTGCCACAATATTACACTTTGATTACTTAAAAAGAAAACCCCACAAATTTATACATTTCAAATGAAAGCAATTACAAAAATGTTTAAGGGTTATTAATTACCTAAAGAATAATACAAGACCGATATGCAAAGTTTATTTTAAATGAATCGATTTTAACACTGTGTTAAGTAGTTAAAGAAGGCAATTCACTATAAAACCTAAATTTGCCCAGAGCAGGCTTCAATCCCACTCAAAACAGAAAGCAATAACTTACTCGGTTCATAGAGTCGAAGCATTTTCTGACCAGTGATTCCACATCATTTGGTCTATCTTGTACATTAATCCAATCCAGCAAGGAGACGTTAAAGAAAACCTGATCACCCACATTAAATTCATCTCCTGCAGCATTTGGAGTCTTTTCTTCATTAACGTCTTTGTCCTCTCCGGATTGCTGAAAAACATTATCCTGCTCAGGATGTCCATATGATGTCAAAGTAGAAGAGGGTGACTTTTTACCAACTATAGATTTAGCTTCATACAGTAATGAGCTATTGAACCTCTCAGCTTCAGTCTCTTCTCCAGGTAATCTCAGTCTCTCCTGGCATTCCCGATAGCTGTGTCTCGTCAAACACTCCAAAAGTGGGATCTTGGCCATTACAGAGACTGCTGTGCCTAGACTGAATTGAAAGCATGAAACAATACATTAATAACAAATTAACAAGTGAAGGGGCTTAGTAGTTAGAGCATTCGCCTTGCAAGCAAGAGGACCTGGGGTAGATTCCCAGGCGGTGCAAAATGTTGAGCAAGGTCCCTTACTCCACACACCTGTTCACCTAGCAGTAAATAGGAACCCGGTTATTAGTCGATTGGCGGATCACTTTTCTGGGGTAATAACCCCTTCAAAGAACAAATAATTAAAAAAATAATTTGGTCTCTCAACGCACAAGTGTTGTGGGACACTGCTGTGCGCAATTGGCTGCCGCGTTTTACCCACAAGACATGTAGTCAATTATTTTTGCGCTGTGAAGCACTTTGAGACGTCTCAAAACCGTGACAATGCGCTATATCAAAAGAAGGATTATTATCAACCCCAGTCTTGCCCAACTTCACTGGCTTCCCATCACACAGAGGATAGTTTAAGATCCTTGTCCCACCTTCAAAGCCCTCCACGGTCTTGCTCCCCTCTACCTCTCCGACCTCCTACCATCCTGTTCGTTCCCTCCGCTCAGCGGACTCCGGCCTGGTTCACATCCCCACCTCACTCACCCCACTATTGGCGGGCAGGCCTTCCGCCACTCTGCACCCACCCTCTGGAACTCCAACCCACAGTCCATCCGTCTCGCCCCCTCCCTCGCTACCTTCAAGACCCATCTCAAGAGCTTCTTCGTCGACCATGCTTTCGATCTCCCTGCTTCCCCCCACCTTCTACCCTCCCCCACCCCAAACCCCAGCTCGGGTCCGTATATCTGTCTATCCTTGGGACATCTGGCTGACATGAAAGGCGTTATACAAAATGTAATTTGTGGAGTCCTGTAGCTCAGTGGTTAGAACACACTCGCCTTGCAAGTGAGACACCCGAGTTCAATTCCAGGCAGGGCGAAACCTTGGGCAAGTTTCCTTACTCCACACGTCTAATAATAATCCCTCCAAAACAAAACAATAATAAACTGGTCCTTTTCAATCCACGACTGTTTGTGGGACACTGCTGTGCGCAATTGGCTGCCACGTTTCGGCCACAAATATACAGTCAATTCACTTTGCAGTATATTCTGTGAAGCGCTTTGAGACGTCGAGAAGACGTGAAAAGCGCTACATCAAATGCAAGGATTATTATTATAATTTTGTTGTTGTTATTAACAACAAATTATTTATATTGTCTTTCACATCGGGTGGCTATTCCAAAGCACTGAATACAACTTGAATTTATACAAAAGGCAAAATACTGCAGATGCTGGAAATCAGGAATAAAAACTGAAGTCTCTGGGAACACGCAGCATATCAGGGAGCATCCTTTTTTCCTCAGCCGAGAATTCCCCTCCACCGTGGTAGACAGCGCCCTCGACCATGTCTGTCCTATTTCCTGCACTTGCCCTCACCCTTCCCCTATCCCTCCCAGAACTGTGATGGGGTTCCCCCTAGTTCTCACCTTCTACCAACCTCTACCCTCAACAGATAATCTTCTGTTGTTTTTCGCCAACTCCAGCATGATCCCACCACCAAACACATCTTTCCCTCCCCTCTCAGCATTCCAAAGGAACCACTCCCTCCATTACTCCCTGGATCACGCCTCCATTATCACTAACACCTGCTCTCCCTCCCGCAGCACCTTCCCAAGCCAGCGCAAGAGATTCAACACCTGCCTGTTCACCTCCACCCACACTACTATTCTGGGCCCCAAACACTGCTTCTGGGTGATACAGTGATTTACATCTCCTTCCACCAAGTATCCGTGCTCACAATGTGGTCTCCCCTACATCAGGGAGACCAAATGCAGATTAGTTTATCACTTTACCAAGCACCTCCATTCTGTCCACAAGTGCAACCCAGAGCTTCTGGGCACTTGCTACTTTAATTTACTTTCGCACTCCCAACGTGACCTCTCTGTCCATGGCTTCCTATTCTGTTCCAAAGAAGTACAATGCAAGCTCGAGGAACAGCACCTCATCTACCGCCAAAGCATCTTACAGCCCTCTGGGCCTCATCATTGAGTTTAACTACTTGACTTTAACCACAGCTCCCATCTTCTCAGCCTGTCCTCCCCTCTTTTCTTTAAACATTGGCACATCCTCTGGATCTCAGACACATCGTTTCTTTCTCTAATCTCCCACTATTGCCTTATTTTGTCTTGCACCATAAACACCTCTGATATCTCATCACCTCCTATCCTCCACATATTTTTTTTCCTTTGTCTTTCTTTCCCCACCTCCTTCAGTTTGTCCTTATAAACTGCTCCCTTCCAACATCCCCCAGTTCTGAGGAAAGGTCATTGACCTGAAACATTAACTCACTTTGAAGTATTATAGTAGCACATTGCTGAAAAGTTTGAAGCATTCCCACTTTGCCTTTACCAAATAACCATAGATTTTTGTACTGATGCACCAAATGATCCAGGATGCTACTCCGCGTGAAGGGCCCTTTATAAATGCAAGTTGTTGTTGTATAATGGATGGGGCTCTGGCAGCATTGCGGTCACATCTCCTCTTCCCAGATTTGTGGATAGTCTGCAGCCAGTATAAGGAAAAGCTGGTAAGTCCAGCCAGCAGGATATGTAGGCAAGCCTGGACATGATGACAGCATAACCTGATGGCCAACTAATCGAAGGACTCTGCAGCCCGTGTCCTCTCCCGCACTAGGCTCCGCGACCCTATCATCCCCATCCTTGCCCAACTCCACTGGCTTCCCATCACACACAGGATACAGTTCAACATCCTGGTCCTCACCTTCAATACCCTCCATGGTCTTGCTCCCCCCTACCTAACTCCCTCCCATCCTGATAGCTCCCTCCGCTCAGCAGACTCCGGCCTACTTCACGTCCCTTGCTTCGCTCGCCCCACTATTGGCGGGTGGGCCTTCCACCACTCTGCCCCCACCCTCTGGAACTCCATCCCACAGTCCCTCCACCTCGCCCCTCTCTTTCCACCTTCAAGACCCATCTCAAGACCCTCCTCTTCAACTGTGCTTTCAATCTCCCTGCTTCCTCCCTTGCCCTCCACCCTCCCCGACTCCCAGCTCGGGTCCGAAACTCAAGTCTGTCCAGTGCCTTAGGACATCCTCCCGACATGAAAGGCACTTTACAAATGTAATTTTGTTGTCGACAACACTGATGCATACAACAGAGAAAATGTTGAATTATTCATTTGGTAAAGAGCAACATTACGCACATATTACTGTATTGTCCTTTAATATACTTTTAGTACACTATGACTACTACTCCATTAACTAACCTCTGCAGAAGTGAAATTAGAATGTGGTTCCAATTTGATTTAAATGATTTAAGTTTTAAATGGAGTTCCAGCATAAAAAGATACCCTAAACAGTTGCCCCTTGACATAGTAGTTCATATCATGAAAGTTAGAATAATCATTTGCATTTATATAGAGCCCTTACGCCGGACAGCATCTCAGAGAACTGCCTCTTATATTAATAAGCCTGGGTTTTGTCGAATTAATACTACTACATTCATGCTTCACTTACCTTGTGAGTTTTAGCTTAATATCTTCCACAGAATGCTCATAATGGTTATATGCATGTTCAAATTTTGTCAACAACTTTTGGAAAGAATAGGTGCAGTCCTCCAAATTAGCCATGATGGCAGCCCAGCCTTGATGCTGAAGATGTTCATCATGGACCAGTCGTTCACAGAACGCGCAAAGTTTCTTTGCAACTTCATACATCTCCTATCCCAGAAATGAAAGCATAAACAGAACAAGTGAACTTACCTCCATGACAAATTCAGTATAAACAATACATTATAATTCTCAAATAATTCTACAAATATATTGGTAATGGACTAGATTTAGAAACACTGAACAGTAATTATAAATTAGTAAACAACAACAGGAATTACAAATTAAAATTTCTGACAATTTATAACTGACCAGCATGAAATAGTCAATTAATCACTTACATTTGTGCAATTTTTCTAAAAAAAACTTAGTCCAATATGTAACTTACAAAATTTACATTTGATTTTTATACTATATATTTAATAATTTAGGAATGTTACTCCTTCCTTCCTTAAGTAGGGCATTTCATATTCAGAACTGTGGTCCAATAGAATTAAAATAAAAGACAAAATTAAAAATGCTAGAACTTAGATCTTGAATATTGAGTTGAAGTTAAATGTTGGAGAAGTTAGCATTCAACAAAACACATCTTGCTTCCACAAATGTTGGCAACATAAAAAATGATATAATAAAATAAAACTGTATTCACAAGCCAAATACTTGTGAAACAACAACAAGATTACATTTATAGCGCCTTTCACGTCGGGAGGACGTCCCAAAGCCTGGACAGAGTACAGCATTTCAGACCCTAGCTGGGGTCGGAGGGGGGGGAAGGGAGGGGAAGGGGGGTGGCTGATGGCATGGTCGAAGAGGAGGGTCCTGAGGCGGGACTTGAAGGAGACTAAGGAGGGGGCGAGGTGGAGTGACTGGGGGATGGAGTTCCAGAAGTTGGGGGCAGAGTGGCTGAATGCTCTCCCACCAATGGTGGGGCGGGTGGGTCGGGGGACGTGGAGCAGGCCAGAGCCGGCTGAGCGAAGGGAACGGGCGGGTTGGTAGAGGGTAAGGTGGTCGCAGAGGTAGGGTGGGGAGAGGCCATGAAGGGCTTTGTATGTGAGGACCAGGAGCTTGAACTGGATCCTCTGAAGGATAGGGAGCCACTGGAGTCGGGTGAGAGTGGAGGAGATGGTGTCACGGAGTTTGGTGCAGGAGAGGACACCGGCTGCAGAGTTCTGGATTATCTGCAGCCTGTGGAGGGAGGAGCGGAGTCGGGCAATGTTACGGAGGTGAGGGAAGACAGAGCGGGTAATGGCTTGAATGTGGGGAGAAGACAGTTGAGGGTCAAACAAGACACCTAGGTTCCTGACTGGCTTGGTGAGATGTAGTGTGCAACCATGGAGGTTGATGTTGCCAGAGCCTGAAGTGCTGGGACGCTGGCGCGAGCCAATCAGGAGGGCCTCACTCTTGTTCACATTCAACTGTAGGAAATTTGCCCTCATCCAGGACTTGATGTTCGACAGGCAGTCTGTCAGGACAGCAGTGGTCCTGGAGTTGAGGGTGGAGGCAGAAAGATAAGAGTTGGGTGTCATCTGCATAGATGTGGAAGTTGACCCCATGTCTGCGGATGATGTCACCAAGAGGGAGCATATAGATATTAAAGAGGAGAGGGCCAAGGACAGAGCCCTGGGGGACATCAGAAGTGACAGTGCAGGGGCTGGAGGAGAAACCATTAGAGGCAACGTGGTGAGAGAGATAGGAATCGAAACATTATACGTTTAAAAAAAACACAAATATACTGGCCCTCACACGACCTCAAAAACAATATAATAATAATTATCCTTGCATTTGATATGGCACTTTATCACATCGATGTTAGGTCTCAAAGTGCTTCACAGGATATACTGTAAAGTGGATTTGATTGTGTATTATTGAGGTGAAACGTGACAGCCAATTGTGCACAGCAATGTCCCACAAACAGCCATGGAGGAGTGACTAATTTTATTTGGGGGATTTGTTGGCTAGGACACCAGGAGAAATGCCCTTCTCATTTTGAATTGTGCCATGATATCTTTAACGTCCACCTGAAAAGGCAGACGGGACCTCGATTTAAGGCCTCATCCAATTCTAGGATTCTATTTTTTATTCTAGGAGTTGAGGTATGATGATGTTAAGAAAAAACACTACTGCAGTCCTTAAAGTTACTTGTATTAAAATACCCAAATGCTATTCAGGTTAAACAACATCCAACTAAAAGCTTATAGGAAAATAAATTAACACATCAACTTTGAAGTTTATAACATTCAAAGACTTATCCAGGAACAGAAATAATCTAAGTATTCTCCAGTTGAGTATGGATCAGGCAAATTTGTGCATTTGGAGTTTTTCTCCAATATATCAGAAATATTCCTGAGCAAAAGCAATATGACAATCTATATTAAAAAAATCACCACTCATACATTAACTCAGAACAGAAAGCTTTACAATCAGTTACATACACTAAATACAGTTAAGTTACATTTATTTTGTGGTACTTACCACAGCAAGCTGGGTTCTAGAAGCCACTGTGTGAAAGACAGCTGGCATCATTAAAGACTCTTCTACCTTCAGCCCCATCTCATTTTCTGCAGAAAATGTTGTCTTGGGTATAGTTGGTGCACGATCACACAAGATCATCTCTTTGTTGTACAGAAAGATTGGATTTGTATCCTGTAGTTTAAAAATAATCAAGAGTGGAACAATTCTTAGAACTGACAATGCTTTCAAGTAGTATCAGGCTACAGGAGAGAAGCAAGTTGGAGCATAGTTTACAAGTTACAGCTTATAAATATCTGACATTTATAGCTTGGAAATTGAAAAACAATTCAATAGTAACTGGACACTTTTTTTTTTACAGGATCCCTCCTACATGGGCAAGATTAAAAGTATGACAGCAAAACAGTCAACCATATAGGTGTGAACTTGTGCACAGGCAGTAATTTCCAAATTGAAAATAGCAGCCTGTTCTGCTCTGGCTGTGGACCTTCTCTGAACTTGGGAAAAGGAATGTAAAGATCAGCAATACCAAATCTTCATTCCCGACCTACATCTGCAGGGCTTACCCATAACTATAATAAAACCTGACAGCTGCCTGACAGACATCAGGGTGCACCAATCATCCTGTTTTCCTGACTGCTATTGCCTCCAAAAATGAAATGAAGCTCCATCTCAAGAGCTATCTTGACCATCTCCAGAAACAATAGTTGGGTTATAATGTGATCAGAATATAAGCATTATCTCAGAACGTAGAATATCTTACCACAAATGGCTGTTGAAGCAGAATCCATATCAGTAGTTAACATTGAATTGGATACATACTCAAGGAGAAATAATAAAATGTATGTGTAAGAGCATAGAATGGGATTAGAACAAACAACTGTACAAGGAAATACATGATAAGCTCTTTCTGTGATATAAACTTTCTATGATGCTACCTTGTAGCAGTATTATAATTTATATATAGGTGTGCATGCCTTTTAATAAACACCAAATAGAGATCACATTCCACTCTATCTTGTACGGTTCGCTGATGTAGAAACATTTTGACTTTGAAACTATAAATTGCTTATTTCATGCATTTCAAACCATACACATTAAAAGATTCATTGAGACTATTCAAAAGGAAAAGGGTGTTTCTCCATTGTCACAGCCATTTCTCTGCTATTTTGGGGACCTCCTGTATGCAAACTGATTACCATTTTTTCCTATAATTATAATCAATACTGTAGTCAATACACTTGACAGAAATTACCTGTGAAGTGCTTTGAGATATTTTAATGTTATAAATATTATACCAAATGCAATTATTATTAGACATAACTCTGTAAGCTACATACAAAAGACATAAAGTAAAATCATAAATAAGATATTAAAGATATAAAAAAGCCATAATTCTAATTAACAATAATCTTAAGAAGTTGTTTGTTAATAGTAATACTAACAATAGATATAGCAACTTTCAAGCGGAAGACGTCTCAAAATGGATATACTGTAAAGTGTATTGACTGTGCATTTTGTAAGCAAACCCTTTGCTGGAGATTTTATTTGCAAACGATTCAGCAAGTTGCAAAAGTGCCTGTGAACTACCCATAGTCTTGACACAAAATACATTTTGAGCTTCATAAGATATTTGAAGGAAATTGCTTTGCGTCAATTCTGCTTATGCTGTTAAACAAAATTAAAGTGATTTCTTGACTGAAATTTTCTTATATGTGAATCACTCAAAAGATTTACAAAAAAAGTAATGGTTGATGATAGGAATTTTGGTCAGTTCATTGTAAACCAAAGTATTAAGAAGCAAATGTTCAGCTCACCCATAACACAATTCAGATGAATTTAAAATACTATTAGTCTCTGATTCTGAATAATGCTGGAGTTAAACTTTATACAGCCCCAAAGCCGAAAATCAAAATTGTGCAATTACTTTAAACAGCTCCATTTGTGTATTGTCTTCCACATTTCCCAGATGCATGCACCACAAAGACTCCCCCTTTCCCTGTTCCAGTTTCCTCCAGGGAACCAACTTATTAAACAGAGGCCCCCGGATAGCACAAATCAGTTTCATTCCTTTACAAACAATATTAGAACTGAATGGAAAGCCTGCTGACCACATTGTTATAACAGCCACTTCACATGTCTTCACTCCATATTTAGCTACAACTACAACAAAAGTTTGCATTCATATAGCACCTTTAAAAAAGAAAGTCTAAAAATGCCTAGCAAATATGATAAGGAGCACTGAGCACATATTTGAAAAAAATTATGTTTTTACGAGGATTTTACAGATAAGGGAAGCAAAAGTAACAACAACAAATTGAATTCACACAGCAACTTTCAGGAAGATGTCCCCAAAGTAATGCAACAACAAAATTACATTTGTATAGCACCTTTCATGTCAGAAGTCCATCTCAAGTTGCTGGACTGTCAAGAATTTGTACCCGAGCTGAGGGTTGGTATCAAGAAGGGTGGAGGCCAGGGAGAGAAGGGGTAGAAAGGTGACCAAAGCCTGGACAATCAATGTTTGGGACCCGAGCTGGGGGTCAGGATCGGGGAAGGTGGAGAGCAGGGTAGGGGGGGCGCGGGGGGGGAAGGATGGTGACCGAAGGCACAATCGAAGATGGTCTTGAGACGGTCTTGAAGGAGGCAAGAGGGGATGAGGCAGAGGGACTGCGGGATGGAGTTCCAGAAGGTGGGGGTAGAGTGGTATGAGACAGTGGCAATGTTGCGGAGGTGGGGAAAGGTGGAGTGGGTCATGGTACGGATGTGGGTAATGAAGGACAGTTGAGGATCGAACAGGACGCCGAGGTTCCATATTGACTCCGAGAGTGTATCCATGGAGGGCGATGCTGTCAGAAAACAAGCTATGAAGGCACTGACGGGAGACAAGCAGGTGGGCCTCAGTCTTGCTGACATTCAACTGCAGGAAGTTAGGTCATGTAAAGAAGTTTTTGAGCAAAGTTTCTAGAGTACAACAACTTGCACTTATATAGCGCCCTCCATGCAGGTTAGAGTCTCAGAGCGCTTAACAGTGGTGGAGCATGACTACAAAAAGCCTGCTAACTGAACTCCTCAAACACCATGACAGCATTCTGGAGCACCACATTTTTATACCAACATAAACAAGATTGGGAGAGAAAAAAAAAATCAAACTGAAAGTTTTTTTTTGAAAAAAATACTCATTCAGTGGAGACCTTTTTTTAATGTATTGACATGCAGAGCCAACTGGTGAGTTTCCCATGCTAAAATATGACCATCTTCCAGGTAATCGGGTCACCACTGACATCACTTCACATGTGCGATGTAAGAATTGATATCCGCAGCAATTTGACCATGAAGTTGGCCATTTTATCACAAGAGCCAGCCAACAAATGGGGTTCACACCACAAATGTGTCATAACAGAATCAGCATTGCAAAGAATCAAGTTGTAATGGGCCCCATTTTACATCATACAACTTGGCATAAAGCATTGTGAAATTAAATTCTTATTCCTCTCACACATATGAAGGTAAAATATAAAACATTTGATTTGATGCAATCTAGCCTTGGGTTAATGGTTGCAGCCAAGAATTACTCCATTATTTTACTGATCCTAATCACAGAGGATTGGCATTTTGAATGCAGCTAAAAGCCAAATGCTTACTTAACTCAGTCCACATCCTGTTAACTATCTCTACTGCCTCCTAGATTAGATGCAGACAAGAGGTTGGTGTAACTTTTTCAAGTCACAAATGCGAGCAAACTATTGTTTTTTAAGAATGGTGAAACATTTTTCATAAAAGAGTCAATGCAAAACAAACAACAAATCTATTATGAAACTTCACAATTATGTATCATTCAAATCAACTATGAACTCTCAATTTGAAATTCATGATGTTGAAATCAATTATTACATGTACAATTATGTATGTTATGAAATGTCACATTTATGAGTGTTCTAAAAAATCACAAAAAAGATTAGATCCAAATTTCATCCGATAATCCACATTCAATCCAAACACTAATCATTTATTTGGAGGTTTATCATCAAGGATATAATCATACAAATTACTGATAAATGATAACCTACCGTTCCAGCACTGTAGTTACAAACACGCCTGTCTGCAACCATGCATTCCCCTCCATTGACAACCAATACTTGATGCTGAGTCGCAATCTTATATTTAGCTTGGATGGCATGCTTAAGATCTGCAACACTGAAGTGAAATATTTGTAACATTTTATTAAAAGAAAATGGTTGATGAATCAATTCATAACTACTCTGGGGTACTTGTTCACGACAATAGGCACATTACTGTGATTGATATTCTTAATAACAGAATATCAATTGTAAATTATGTAATTTGTGATGCATACATCAAACATACTATATTTCACATACATTAAAACACAAGATTATTAACTTTCTTATCTTTATTTTAAACTCATGGTAGTTAACCTCTTCCATCCCCACTGCACATTCTACCAGAGAAAAGATCAGTCATTTCTCCTACCGGATACAGCAAAATATTATCACCTGTACATACATTTTGACCCTTCAGTCTATAGTAAAGTTAATTTCTTACTCCTGCTATCTTTTGACATCTTTTCCTTTGTAAACAAAACATTACCTCTCCTACCAGCAAACACATGAATAACTTCACCCAACGCTGCAGTTTGTCATTAAAAGAGCTTTGTAGGTTACGAATTAGGGAGACGAGTGTTGTTGTGTGCTATTCAACATGCACTAAACCATTCAGTGATACTATGGCCATAAAAGAATCTTACATTTAGCTCTTTTTTGTTTCAAGAAATGAAAACTAATGAAATACTCTCATGCTAACTACTCACGTCTGTACAGCAAGTTCAGTGTCGAATGTAAGGGTAGTTCCAGTGTTGACCAGAAATACATACAACTTCATGTTGCTGCTCCCACTTCTGTCACCTTTCACTTTACTTCGCTCATTTATCACCTAAAAATCAGTAAAACAAGCAACATTTTAGCTATCAAAGATTGTATATTTTGTTGCAAAATATAAAACATTATAAAGTAAATTAATTTGCTCATCTTGGATATAACTTAATAGTCCTCTTACCAACATGGGCACAATACAAAACTTTCAGAGTGTGAAAAGCAAAACATGCAAATAGTCAATGTAAGGGAGGCCTTGCTCCCTCCTACCTCTCCAACCTACTATCCCCCTACCTACCTGCCCGTACCCTCCGTTCCTCTGGCTCCGGTCTGCTCCACGTCCCCCGCCCCAACCGCCCTACTATCGGTGGTCGGGCCTTCAGCCTCTCAGCCCCCAGGCTCTGGAACTCCATCCCCCAGTGCCTTCGCCTTGCTTCCTCCCTTTCCTCCTTCAAGGCCGGTCTCAAAACCTTTCTCTTTGACCGTGCCTTCAGCTCCCCTCTCGACTCTCTTCCTCCTCCTCGCTCCCTCCCTTCCCTCCCCTCACCCTGACCATTTCCCCCCTCCTCTCTCCCTCCCTTCCCTCCCCTCACCCTGACCATTTCCCCCCTGCTCGGGTCATGACCCAACTGTGCAGCGCCTTGGGACGTCCTCCTGACGTGAAAGGCGCTTTATAAATGGAATCTTGTTGTTGTTGTATGCAACTGAACATAGCAAAGCGTTACTTTTGGATATGAAAAGGCAAATGGGAATACCGCATGTTCTAAATAGGAATAAGGGCAGATCTGGTGCACAATGTTTTTTGATCAGCCAGATGCGTGACACACGCAGAAACCTATCACCATGCTTAAGAGCATCCAAACCAAACTGAGAATTCTACGCATCACATCTACACATGGAAATCCTAGAGACAGATTGTCGGAATGGAATGGGCAGTCTCTCCCTGGAAGGACGCATCCTGCTTACCTAATTCCAGAAAATATTAGGCATAGGTTGGCAAGACCACAAAGTGTGCATTTGGGTACTACTGGTGTCAAACCAGCTAAAACTACATCGCTTGCCAGTGATATCGCTATCTGGCAAGGTTTCCCATGATATAAATGGCAAGCCTACCTGTTAGGGTGCACAAATCTCTATAATTGTACTTTGAGAGGTCCTCCCAACGTGAAAGGCACAATGCCAAATGCAAGGATTATTATTTTATACAGTGCTTTCAGCATCAAGTTATTATTGGCTGCATCAAAGCTTCCTAAAAATTGGTTTTCGTACCAGAAGGAAACAAAATCGATGAAATGTGGAATCAACACAGAATTTTATAAATTGTATAAACCATTACAACAACATGTATTCATATAGTGCCCTTCATGCGGGTTTGCATCAGAGTGTTTGCATTATTAGCATTATGCATTTACAGTAAATATACTACCCCACATCTGTGCCTTCTACCCCACATCCGTGCCATGACCCGCTCTGCCATTCACCACCTCCACAACATTACTTGGCTCTGCCACTGCCTCTCCCTTCAGGCCACCAAAACCCTTATCCACACATTTATCACATCGAGGCTCAACTATGCCAATTCTCTGCTGATCAGCCTTCCTATCTCTTCCCTCAACAAGCTGCAGATCATTCAGAACTCTCCAGCTCATGTCCTCTCCCGCACCAGGCTCCATGACCCTATCCCTATTCTCGCCCTGCTCCACTGGGTCCCCATCCCCCAGAGGATAGAGTTCAAAATCCTCGTCCTCACCCGAAAGACCCGCCATAGCCTTGCTCCTACCTGTGACCCCATATCAATCTGTCCGTTCCCTTCGCTGAGCAGTCTCCGGCCTGCTCCATGTCCCCCACTCGGCCCGCCCCACCATCAGCGGTCCAGTATTCTGCCTCTGTGCCCCCCACACTTTGAAAATTCATCTCACAGTCCCTTTGCCTTGCTCCCTCCCTTTAAAGTATGTCTCAAGACCCTCCTCTTCGACCACCCTCCTACCCCTAACCCCCAACTCCTGAATCCAACCCCCTGACTGTCCCGCGCTTTGGGACATCCTCCCAACGTGAAAAGCGATATACAAATGTAATTTATTATTGTTTTAGAATATAAAATTCTGTGTTATACTAAAAAGTTTATGTTAGTTTAATGACTTCTTCTCATATTTATATCACAGCAGTTCAAACTCTGCATAAGAGCAGATTATAGGATGAGGATCAACTTAACAGAAGCAGGAGGAGATCGTTTAGGGGAGGAGGTCACACATTGCACTTCAACTGCAAGTGACATAATGATAAATAGAGAAGCTATTTCCTCTGGTGGGGGAATCCAAAACATGGAGGCAGTCTTAAAATTAGAACCAGGCAATTAAGAATGAAATCAGGAAGCATTTTCTCACTCAAAGGGTGGTAGAAATCTGGAATTCTCTCCCCCATGGATGCTGAATCCACCCACACCTTCAAGAGTGAAGTTGGTAGATTTTTGGTAGGTCAGGCTATTAAGGGATAGAGAAAGCGGGAAGTTGGAATTGAAAGGATTAGTTGAGGTACAGATCAGCCATGATCGAATTAAATGGCGGAACAGGCTTGAAGGGTTGAAGAACATGTACTCCTATTCCTATGATAAGTCACAAAAAAATTTCTGATGAATAGATATGTTGAGAATCTGAGTAAACTTGAGCCAGAGGAGGTTAAGGGTGATCTGATGAGATCTTTAAAATAATAAAGAAAATTAATAAAGCAAACAAGTTACAGGTGCAGTGCAGGGGTAACATCATCTTAACATCTAAGCTAATTAACAGTGTCCGTGCACATTTCACACACATATGGTTGGTTGAGAGAAATGTGGAATGTAGTTTTAAAAGCAACAGATCAGATTTTTAAAAAAAAGAGATATATTGATATGTACTTTGTAAGATTCAGGTAAGAATCAGGTGAGTCGGTTCCGTCACCCTCATATGTCAACCCACGATATGGCTCGCTCTCCCTCGCAGTGTACTGGGTGGCCTCTATGTTCAATCCTCATTAATGAATCCAGTCCCTATAACTAGGTGTAACTTGACATGAGTTCTTCTACAACAGGTACTACCAATTGCTATTTAAATTAAGGCAAATTGGGAAGCTTCAGTCAATCAGAGGTTTATTTTACACCACTGTGACTCAGGTTGAACCTGTTTGTGTATTCCCTCCTTTGATTTATACAGAAAGCTTGAGAAAGCACTTTTAAGTTAGCTCAACGGAATTTTATTGCAACTTTGATGAAATCCACAACCCTCGGCATTAGATCTTAAACGACACAATAAATATCAACAAACACAACTATGAGATAACAAAATTCACACTTAAAACTACATTCCCTAGCAGCCACTTGTAATAAAGTTAATGTAAAAGTGCATGAAGAACCAACCTCTTGACTACTACTCATTAATAGTCAGAGCATGTACCTTTGTTGTCATCAAGTAGAAAAATAGTGACCATGAGCGCTCGTTCTTTTATGGGCATTGAGCCCCTGCCTGAATTAGTTTACCCAATTCAGGGAGGAAGTAATTGCACCAATTGCTTGATGTAATTGGTGCCTGTTTTAATGGTCAGATCCTCCCCTCAGTTGTCCAATAGGGGACAAATACACTTCCAACCCTTCATTTGCACATTGGAAGGGTAACTTACCCACCAAATTGTTGCAACTGACGCTAGAGTCAGACTTGATGGCACCATAAGTATCAAAAAACGTTGAATACATAAAGCACTACACAATATATTTAAATAGAAGACATAGAAAACAAAAGGGGTGACCGTGACACAGGAACAACAACAACAAAATTACATTTATAGAGTGCCTTTCACGTCAGGAGGATATCCCAGCCGCTGGACAGTCAGGGGTCAGGACCCGAGCATGGGGGAGCGGTGGGGTATGGGTGAGGGAAGGCAGAGAGGTGGGAAGGCGACTGAAGGCACGATCGAAGGGGAAGATCTGAAGGATGCAAGGGAGGAAACAAATTAATTCAGGGGAACAAATTAATTAAGGGAAATGGAAAAGACATCAGAAAGAAAAACTACTGTGACTCCCAAAAAAGTCAACTAGCTGATAATCTGCACCTTCTCCCATACTTTGGATCCTTACATTGTTTGAGCTTTTTCTAAGGACAGAAATTTATACTGATGCTGTATTTATATTGCTGGAAGGAAAACTACTAAGAAACATATGACATTAAACCTGTGCTAATAAACAAAATAAAGACATTCGGTATCAAGGGTGGATGAAAAATGAATCTTGTAGTGTAAGATAAAGACTTTGTGTGTCATTTTACACCTCTATCTATCTGAGAGGAATATTTCCATTAAGCAGTTTGTCAGTTACAGTATGTGCAAAACAAGAACTCATTCTCCCCAAATCCCTCAACCTGTTCAGCAGTTTGCCAACTTTAGCAATTATTATCACTAAGAAAAATGGTCATCTAAAGTATAGACATCCGGTTTATGAAACTAATGTAAACTCCATAAGACAGAACTATTTTATTGCAACCTCCTGCGTGGAGTGTTATCTATTTGAATGTTTGTTTTAAAAGAACAACTATATTGTTAGTAAACTTTCTAATTGATATGCCTTTCCCAAATTGTTCCTTTTTTAAATATTAAAATCTAGAATTTGAAATTTTCCTAATCACATAATACTGTACTTTGTTATTAATATTGTTGAAAGTGTACATTTTTGTACTCATTTCTCAAAACAACGGTAGTACAAGTTTTTTTACTTCCCCACTGCAGTACTTCTTATGTTATGTATACCACAACATATTACAAATGTTTGCTGATTAACTTTTGACTTACACTTGTACAAGTAAAATTTTCAGATTCCAGGAATGCTCCCTGAAAGTACAATTTACCCTTTTCAAATCTATCATGGTTCACAAAGAAAATACAGATCTCAATGCATGTATGTTGAAATAATTTAATGGCCTACGGTACTTCTTTTATAATCTCAAATATTCTGTAAATAATTCAATAAACTGAGGTTATGGAATTAAGCACCAAAAGGTTTACAGTATTTTAACAAATGAAAATTTGCACAAATATTAGCATTTGAAGCATTAAACACTTTTAAGATATGATATAATTGAATTAATAACAAGTGACTCAAGTTCAAACTACAACAATAATAATCCTTACATTTGATATAGAGCTTTATCACGTCTTTGAGACATCTCCATGCCCTTCACAGAATATACTGTAAAATGAATTGACTGTATATTTTGTGAAGCAGCCAATTATGCACAGCAATGTCCTACAAGCAGTTGTGGATTGAAGTGACCAATTTATTATTTTTTTGAAGGAATTATTACCCCCGGAAAAGCGATCCGCCAATCGACTAACAACCGGGTTCCTACTTACTCCTATTAAACAGAGGTGTATGGAGCAAGGAAACTTTGCCCAACATTTCTCCCTGCCGGGAATAGAACCCAGGTCTCTCACTTGCGAGGCGAGTGCTCGAACCATGCCAAGAAACAAGAAAAATCAAATATACAATAGATGTGCATTTTTTTAAAAAAGTACATGCTAATCTTTATTGGCCTAGGTTTAAGGAACTCAAAGTGCATAAACTTTCACATTAGCCTCAATACTAGTCTGTATCCTTCTAAGAACACATTTGAAACCATTTTAATCGTCAGTGATTTCTTAATACCGGTTAAGGATAAATACTCCAATGAAAGACTATTAAAAAAATTAATGTGAAAATCTATGATTATGAAACAGCAATGCCATTTACTTTAATTCCAGAGTACCTTAACTATTACTTAATGCCAGTTAAACCTCATCTATTACTCAATGCCAGTGAACCTCAGCTATTATTACTCAATGACAGTGTGATGCACAATCATAATAACCTGTTATTTAAAATACATTTCCAAATATACCTGCAAACCCATTATATATTAACTTAGGTATATTAATCTGCTGAGTATTTTCAGAGATTTCTGCTTTTGCTTTCTTAAATTAGATCTGCTGGGGAATGGGGGGAATGGGCAGTGGAGCAAAGTGAGGGTGAGGACACAAGCTGCAGAATTCCAGAGGGTCTGCTGCTTCTGGAAGTAGGAACTAGGGAGTTCAGCGAGCAGACCATTAAAGTAGTCAAGCCAAGACATGATGAGGATAGTTTGGAAGAGGGAAGGGTGAACAAGACACCGAGATTCTGCACTGGCTCTGTGAAGTGGAATGAGCCTCCATGCAGATCAATGCAATCAGCACGTGAGGTGAGATAGAATTGATAGGAGCTAAGCACAAGTAAATGGTCTTGACTTCACTGAGCTGCAGAAGGTTATAATTCATCCAAAACTTGATTCTGACGGGCAATCAGTCAGAACAACAGTGATCCTAGAATCAAGGATGAAGGCTGAGAAATAGTATTGGGTGTCATCCATGTGCATGCTTAAGGAAGATATCTCCAAGAGGGAACCATATAGATGAAGAGCAGAGGACGCAGGATAGAGACCAGAGAAAGGCTACGTGTGACTGTGCAGATGCTGGAGGAGAAGCCATTGGAAGAGACAAAGTGTAATGGCTGGGACAGGTAAGATTGAAACCAGGAAAGGACAGCACGATTTGTATTAGATTTATAAAGCCTTTTAGGTATCTTCTACAAACGTTTTAGAGTATTTCAAGTAAAATAAAAGTACAAATAGTTGCTCGACTTTAACTAAGTAAAACATTATTGACTAGATCGGGTTGTAATCACCCAATCAAAATTGCACATTTATTGAAAAGTGATGAAACGCAAGGGTTATTCTGCTTAAAAACGCAAAATACTGCGGATGCTGGAAATCTGAAACAAAAAAAAAACAGAAGTCGCTGGGAATCAAATGTGAGGCAAAGGTTATTCCGCTTTGCCTCGCATTTGACCATCTTAAACCTGCACATCCACATGTAATTGTAAGACAAAACACTGTATTGCAAATCGTCAACAACTCAAGAAACACCCCCAGTAGGTTAATGTTTCGGACGTGATGACCCCCCCACTTGTATTCTGATGATAGGTTATAGCGGACAGATTAACATGTTGGCTGCTCTTTTAGATGTTGGTTGATTTAGTGGGGATGTGGTGGGTGGGATGTGCTGCCATCACCATGTTTTCACCAAAAACGGCCTATTGCACAGGACAACACAACACAGCATTGCGCCATATAGTAAACAGCCAAACTCACCCTTCCCGTCCCGATTACCCAGAGACTGAGTGAGTTTCCACAACTCCGGCAAAGGGCGGCGACATGTCGAGGGGCTGAGTCATCGCCGGGAATAAAGTGTTGCCCAAAACACTCGGTGGGGGGTCGGTCACTGTCAGAGCGGCGACTCACTGACCCACAGCCCAGAGCTCAGGCCGGACAACTACCCACAAACCCCGCTCCCCGGCTCCGCCCCCGCACACAGCCCCCGGTCCCCTCCCTCACGGGCAGTGAGGGGGGTTAGGCCCCGTGTCCCCGGGACCCTCCTCCTCGCTCTCCCCGGGTTACTGACCTCCAGCCGAGCAGGGACTCGCTCCCCTTCGCCTCACGCCGTCTTGTCCGCGGCTCCAGGCCCCGCCTCCTCTGGGCCTGGGCCTCGGTGACTCTCGGCCCCCAGGCCCCGGGCTGGCCTTGTATCTGCTGGGCTCCCAGGCCCAGGGTGTCGGGCCCAGGCTCAGGCCCGGGGTCTGTGCGTGTCGTGTCCTGGTCTCCTCCCTCCGGAGCCTTGTGTCTCGGGGTCTCTGGGGTTTTTTTTTTGTTCCGTGTCTCTTGGAGGCTTCGTGTTTCCCTTTCTCTCCTGTTTGTGTTGAGCGTCGTGTTTGCGGGGGTCGGTGGGCGGGTGTTGTGCGAGAGGTCTCGTTGTGGGCGCGTCTGTTTTCTGCGTCCAAACCCCTGTTCGACACGGGGGTGTGTGTGTGCCTCGTCTGTGTATCGGAGCCTTTTGGGTGTCGGTCTGTCGTGTGTGTCAGAGCCTGTTATTTATTGTGTGTGTGAGTCTTGTGTCATCGCCTGTTGTTATGCGTGTGTCAAGTGTATCAGAGTCTGTCGTCTCTCTCTGCGAGAGCTTCTTGTTGCATGTGTCAGTGCATCAGAGCCTGTTGTCTCTCTCTCTCATTGTAAGAGCCTCTTGTTGTTGTTGTTGTGTGTCTCTGCATCAGCCCGTTGTCTTGTCTGTCTCTGTGTGAGAGCCTCTTGGTGTGTGTCGGTTTATCGGAGACTGTTGTCTCTCTGTGGAGAGCCTCTTGTTGTTGTGTGTGTGTGTGTGTGTTGTGTCAGTGTATCAGAGCCTGGTGTGTGTCCCTGTGTGAGAGCCTCTTGCTGTTGTGTGTGTGTGTTGTGTCAGTGTATCAGAGCCTGGTGTGTGTCCCTGTGTGAGAGCCTCTTGCTGTTGTGTGTGTCAGTGTGTGTGTGTGTGTGTTGTGTCAGTGTATCAGAGCCTGGTGTGTGTCCCTGTGTGAGAGCCTCTTGGTGTTGTGTGTGTCAGTGTGTCAGTGTGTGTGTGTTGTGTCAGTGTATCAGAGCCTGGTGTGTGTCCCTGTGTGAGAGCCTCTTGCTGTTGTGTGTGTCAGTGTGTGTGTGTGTGTGTTGTGTCAGTGTATCAGAGCCTGGTGTGTGTCCCTGTGTGAGAGCCTCTTGGTGTTGTGTGTGTGTGTGTGTGTTGTGTCAGTGTATCAGAGCCTGGTGTGTGTCCCTGTGTGAGAGCCTCTTGGTGTTGTGTGTGTCAGTGTGTGTGTGTGTGTGTGTTGTGTCAGTGTATCAGAGCCTGGTGTGTGTCCCTGTGTGAGAGCCTCTTGCTGTTGTGTGTGTCAGTGTGTGTGTGTGTGTGTTGTGTCAGTGTATCAGAGCCTGGTGTGTGTCCCTGTGTGAGAGCCTCTTGGTGTTGTGTGTGTCAGTGTGTGTGTGTGTGTGTTGTGTCAGTGTATCAGAGCCTGGTGTGTGTCCCTGTGTGAGAGCCTCTTGGTGTTGTGTGTGTCAGTGTGTGTGTGTGTGTTGTGTCAGTGTATCAGAGCCTGGTGTGTGTCCCTGTGTGAGAGCCTCTTGGTGTTGTGTGTGTCAGTGTGTGTGTGTGTTGTGTCAGTGTATCAGAGCCTGGTGTGTGTCCCTGTGTGAGAGCCTCTTGGTGTTGTGTGTGTCAGTGTGTGTGTGTGTGTGTTGTGTCAGTGTATCAGAGCCTGGTGTGTGTCCCTGTGTGAGAGCCTCTTGGTGTTGTGTGTGTCAGTGTGTGTGTGTGTTGTGTCAGTGTATCAGAGCCTGGTGTGTGTCCCTGTGTGAGAGCCTCTTGCTGTTGTGTGTGTGTGTTGTGTCAGTGTATCAGAGCCTGGTGTGTGTGTCTGTGTGAGAGCCTCTTGCTGTTGTGCGTGTGTCAGTGTATCAGCGCCTGTTCTCTCAGTCTCTCACCGTGAGAGCCTCTTTTTGTGGTTAGTATCAGTGAGTGTTGTGTGTATGTATGTCAGTGTGAGAGCCTCTTGCTATGTCAGTGTATCACAGCCTGTTGTTGTGTGTCACTGTGTTGTATGTGTCAGTGTGTGTGTGTCATATGTCAGTGTGTGTCAGTGTGGTGTGTGTGTATCAGAGCATGTTGTCTCTTTCTCTCACCGTGAGAGCCTCTTGTGTGTGTGTGTGTGTATCAGTGTGTGGTGTGTGTTGTCTCTCTCACCGTGAGAGCCTCTTGTTGTTGTTGTTGGTGGTGGTGTGTGTGGTGTGTGTGTGTGTGTCAGTGTGTGGTGTGTGTTGTCTCTCACCGTGAGAGGTTGTTGTTGGTGGTGTGTGTGTCAGTGTGTGTTGTCTCACCGTGAGAGCCTCTTGTTGTTGGTGGTGGTGGTGGTGGTGTGTGTGTGTCAGTGTGTGGTATGTGTTGTCTCTCACAGTGAGAGCCTCTTGTTGTTGTTGGTGGTGGTGTGTGTGTTGTCTCTCACCGTGAGAGGTTGTTGTTGGTGGTGTGTGTGTCAGTGTGTGGTGTGTGTTGTCTCTCACCGTGAGAGGTTGTTGTTGGTGGTGTGTGTGTCAGTGTGTGTTGTCCCACAGTGAGAGCCTCTTGTTGTTGTTGTTGGTGGTGGTGTGTGTGTTGTCTCTCACCGTGAGAGGTTGTTGTTGGTGGTGTGTGTGTCAGTGTGTGGTGTGTGTTGTCTCTCACCGTGAGAGGTTGTTTTTGGTGGTGTGTGTGTGTCAGTGTGTGTTGTCTCACCGTGAGAGCCTCTTGTTGTTGTTATTGTTGTTGGTGGTGTGTGTGTCGGTGTATGTTGTCTCTCACCGTGAGAGGTTGTTGTTGGTGGTGTGTGTGTGTCAGTGTGTGTTGTCTCACCGTGAGAGCCTCTTGTTGTTGTTCTGATGTTAATGAAGTGCTGACATCAGCTCTGACGACAGCCCCTCGCACTGCATTGTGGGCAGAGTCGGCTCAGCCGCGCGGCGGGAGGTCACGGGGACAAATCCATTCACTCACTTTCATTCATTCATTTTTTTCGCTCACTCACTCACTCACTCACTCGCGCGCAGAGGCTGGTCTGCCCCCCCCCCCCCCCCCCCCCCGGGGTGAAGTGCACGGGCAGTGACCCAGACCCAGATGACGAACCCACCGAAGAGGAATGAAGTGCACCTTTCAGACTCCAATGGTTGTGGCTGCATTTGCACAACATCTTGTAGGGTTGGTGGCACTGCTGTGCGTGGCGTTACAGGTCCCAGCATACAGGAGGCGTGGTGCTCAATTGATGGGGATGTATTGATGGGGTTGGAGAGACTGCATCTCAGGATATTCACCAGGAGTCATTGGGGTGCTCACAGTGACCTGGGAGGAGGGTGTGACATGTTTGGACACTTCCACGCAGGAAGGCACGATTGCTTCTTGGCTAAGATCAAGTGTAATATCTATCCTTATCAGTTACTCCTTGGGCTGTGCAGTTCCTGCCAGTAAGCTCTGCCTTTAGGGTCTCAAGAGTCCTGAGACTTGTGGAGTCCTGTAGCTTAGTTGTTCGAGCACTTGTAAGCGAGAGGACCAATTCCCAGGCAAGGTGAAACGTTGGCCAAGTTTTATTACTCCACATACCTCTATTTGCCTTGCAATAAGGAGGAACCCGGTTATTAGTTGATTGGTGGTGGCTGTTCCAGGGGTAATAAACATTTTGCCTATCTGTGAGCGTGGCTCCTGCCTTCTCATCCTCCTTGACCTCTGTTGGCTTCGATATCGTTGACCACTCTATCCTCCTCCACCACCTCTCTTACCTCAACCTTCAAGGTTCTGTCCTTCAATGGTTCACATCCTACCTCTCACACTGTCACACTCTCCACTTCATCTCCACAAACGGCTTCTCTAACCCATCCCTTGCCTCCTTCAAGACCCATCTTGAGACCTTGCTCTTCAACCATGTCTTCGATCACTCTGCTTCCCCACCCCCGTCCTCCACCCTCCCCAATCCCAACCTTCAGCTCAGGTCTGAAACTGTCCAGCACTTTGGGACTTCCTCGTGATGTCTGGCGTAGAGGGCGCTATATAAATCCAAGTTGTTGTTGTACAAATGTAATTTTGTTATTGATGTTACTCCAGTGCACTGCTCCAGGAGTTTTGCATTGTCAGAGATGTCATTCTTTGGATGACACAAACCAAGTTTTTGTTGGCTCGTTCCCAAGGACATCTTTTGCAAACTTTGCTCTGATGCAATCCGCTCGTGGAGCAGAGTTTATAATAATAATAAATCTTGCATTTGATATAGTGCCTTATCACATCATTGAGATGTCTCAAAGCTCTTCATAGAGTATACTGTAAAGTGAATTGACTGTATATTTGTTGACAGCGAAACACGGTAGCCAGTCTTGCATTGCAGTGTCCCATCGTGGATTGAGTGACCTATTTATTTTTTTATTTTTTTTGAAGGAATTACTACCCCGCAGAAAAGCCATCCGCAAATTGATTAACAACTGGGTTCCTACTTACTGCTAGGTAAACAGAGGCATGTGGAGTAAGGCAACTTGCCCAATCTTTTGCCTTGCTGGGAATCGAACCTAGGTTTCTCGCTTGCAAGGCGAGTGCTTTAAACACTGAGCTACAGTATATTGGGTGGATATACAAACAAGAATGTGTAATACCCTAAAAAAACATGCTGTACTTAAGGGGCATGTTCATAATTCTTGAGTACATTTAGTCCAATGAGTGGTGATGAACTCCTGTTGATGCCAAATTACTGTGTACCAACGGTGCCTTGCTAGTTAACCATTTTAATGGGTTTGACAGGCTGGCACTCATTTCAAATAATTGCTATAATGTTCAAAGCTCAAGGGCATGAAAACCAAGTATATCAAGAACAGATAGTCAACATTAATTTTATTATCCTCCAGCACCAAGACTACCTCACTGTAATTGACTTCACTAAAATGTTCATTATGGGACTTCAATCCCAATATTCACTCCTTTATCATTAGGGTATCAGGTTTGTCGTGGTAAAAAATATCACGGATACAGTGATTTTTCTATTTGTCCGTGACTTTCTGTGGGATTTTCTTTGTGTCTATGATTTTCATAAAGTGCATTGATAAACATTCCTATCACTGCCCATTGATCTTCCTCTGAGCTACCTTGGCCTTTTTATGGTGCATGTCCTTTTCAAACTAAGTCTACTTTTGTAGTTGTTGTGCTCAGCATTTCTACGCATGCTTCAAACTCTCTTGCGATTATTCAGAACTCTGCAGTTCATCCAGGCTTTCCAAGCCCTTCATGGCATTTGCTCCTGACCTCTGAGCAGCTAACTCCATAATGACCTGTCCATTCCCTCCGCTCAATGGGCTCTAGTCTGCTCCATGTACCCCAAACCTGCCTGCCCCACCATCGGTGGTCAGGCCTTTCTGCCCCCATCCTCTGGAACTTCATCCCACAGTCCCTTCACCTCACCGCCCTACTTGTTTCCTTCAACATAAGAACATAAATGCTAAAAGAAAAAAGACCAAGGTCCATCTAGTTCACCTTCCAGCACGCATGCACATATGTCCCAAACTACCTATGTACTATATCCCATAATGTTATACCAAGGCCCGGCTCAAAATCTTCCTCTTCAACCACGGCTTTGGTCACCTTTCTACCCCTACTCTCCCTGGCCTTCCTGATACCAACCCTCAGCTCGGGTGCAAATCCTCCCAACTTGAAAGCCGATATACAAATTTGTTTTTGTTGCCATTTTATCAGCCCGTGATAGCTTCGCTAGCACTCTGTGCTCTGCCATAATTAGGGGAGGGAAGGATGACAGGTGTTTTACCCCAGCTCCGTGCAGAGTACCTATGTTGAATTTTCATACCCATGACTACACAACA